TAAATTGATTTAATCAGGCACCTTCTACAGAGAGGCTGGTATTAGGGACTATAAAAGCCTGTGATATTGGTGGAATGTGATATATCATGTTATTTTGATCATTTACTCAAGAAAGTTTGAGTCTGCTTTCTTCTCCTTAGAGACTGTGGTTTAAAATGTGAAGTTCTTAATTTTAGTTTTACTTCAGATCATGAGAAAGAAGCTACCATAAGATCAAAATACTTCAAGACCAATTGTGTACAAAAACATTTTAATATTATTAAGTAGAATACCTTTTAAAATTAGGGGAACATGCCAAATATGATAATTTTTCTTTTTTAAAAGCTGGTGGATTTGTTTTGGAATGAAGTGGATAAATTGACCAGTTCTGAAACAAAGTAAGCTTTATGATAATGAGCAATGCAGAATTGTAAGGAAATGAAACTGCTCTAGTCTAATTACTGTTTAGTGTCTAGATTTTATTTCACATTACAGTTGAATTTTACCTTTTTTTTTCCTTTGGTTAAGTTCATAGTCCATTAAATTCTTCTTCCCTAGGAAAAACTGCATCCTCTAGGACTTAGGTAATGATCAATTAGAATAGTCTTGGTTATCCTGTGTAAGGGGAAGAAGGAGGGCAGATGTGCAGCAAGGCTATGCCAGGTGAATTTTTCCTGCCCTTTTCCTTGATGGGAAACCAGCATGAAACTGGTAACGTGAAATGTCACCTCAGGGCTTAGCTGAATTTTTTTCTTTCATAGTTGCTATACTGGAGATTTTTATCTTGATTTGTTAAAATCATTAATATCACATTCTTCACCATCATCTGACAGCTTATAAAGGCCACTAAAGAGGTGGCTCTTCTCTGCTTTCATTCGTTACCAGAGCATTAGTGGTATAATTTTCTTCATGTGTGAAACACTGATGATTAAGAAAGTTCTTATCTCCCCTTCATCCCCTAGGAAATCATTCCTAGCAGCAACAGGAGAGATGGAAAAGTGGTCTTTGAAACGGCTCAGGTTCAATCAGTTGAAGTGTCTGAAAATATAGGATGCAAAGTTTCTCGTGGGAAACAACAGCCTCACTAGTGAAAGGTCTGGTTTCCAATGACCTGTTCTTAAGCAAAGTAACAGAGAATGCTGTTCTTGATGACTCTAGGTTGTTTGCTGATGACTGAATATAGAATGACTTCTGATTTCAAAAAAAATGATATCTGCTGGAAGCATTTTTATCATTGGGGGCATGATGGGAGTGCTTGATGTTCAGAGTGTTTGGTACCCCTATGCTCAGAGTACTGGACTGTCTCCTTGTATATGCTGTGAACCTGTTTGAGCTCCAGCTTGCCTTTTACTTCACTACATAGAATTCTTCTTTTGAGATTTTTTTTTTTTTTTTTAAGAGCTGGTCCATACAACCCTCCTGGCATGCCCAAGCATAAACCTAACTGCTGTGTGGACAGGGTGGGTGGTACCATTCCTAAGGTGATCTGTCACCATGCCTTGTATGTTTGCCCTTTTGTGGTGCAGTAGTATGACTGGAGATGAGTGGATGAAGCAATTCCAGGTCCTTCCTACATAGGTTTACAGTTGCATGCCAAAAACGGTCAGGATTTGTGAGCCACCCAAGACCCCACATCTCTTGAAGCAGTGTGTGCGTGTCACTGATGCACACTGATGGTCAGTGACAAGCTGCAGTGGGTGAGAAGGCTTTAAGAATGGGTGGTAGCAGGGTTCTGCTGCAGACACTGCCTTATGCTCTGCTCAATGCAGTAATTCTTCATGGAACGTTACTGAAGTCCGACTATGAAAACAGACTGATCAACCACCGAGAGCAAGAATTTCTAGTCTGTTTGTAGGTACAGGCAGAGGTAGTTGAGGTAAGGAACAATCCTGAGTGTAATGTAAGCCAACTGTTTAATAATAAAGCTTTAAGACTGAAATTCAGTTTTAGAAAACAGGAATTATGTAACCTAAAGTGCTGTACAGAATTTCAAACATGCGAAGGTTTGATATTTTCAAGTCTCTGGCATTTGCTTTGTTCCATTTGTATAGAGATCAATGTATACAAACAGTTTTCATACAGTGGTGTAGAAGCACACTTACTTGTGTAGTAGTTGCCACCACCCATACCTTGGAGAAATGCAAGGATCTTTCACATGGTATTTATGTAATTACTTCTTCATACCCCAGAGGGAAGTTTCATTCCACAGTCCTATGTAGTGTAAGCTTTCCCACCCTTTCCCCCAGGTGTATGATCTCATATGTCTTGCAAACAAGACAAAGAAGGGGGTGTCCCCATAATCTAAAGCTGAGGAGTCACTAAGTGGAAAATTCAGTTCCTGCTCTACAGTGGAAAACTCAGTGCTTGTTGGGCAGGTACTTCAACCTCACTGTCATCTCCTCCAAACAGTTTTACATTGGCTTCCCAGGACAGAGGGGACTGAGAAGAAAGTCTGCCCTCTGATGCATTTTCTCCTGTCCTCTGGGGCCCTGCTCCCCTTCCCCCACTTTTTACCTCTCTGACCTGGCCTTTGTGAGTTTACTGGACGCATTTCCTGCAGAGCAAGAATGGTTTCTCTGCCTGTCTAAAAACGTTCTGTTCTTTGTTCTGCTGAAAAAACAGAACAGTGCTTACCCCATGATGTTTCAGTTTTGCTGGGGAGGGTTTTGTTGGGGTTTTTTGGTGTGGGTTTTTTTGTTTGGTTGTGGGGTTTTTTGGTGGTGTTTGGTTTTTTTTTAATGTGTTAGGAGGGAAAGGAAGGAAATACTAAATTTTAATTACAAGCTTATATAAATTATGTTTCAGAAAGTACACCGGATACAAGTTAATGCGTTAAAGACAACAGAGGCTGTAAGGGAAATGATAAGAAACCTTAATACATGGGTGCTTTTGCTGAAGTTTTCTGCTGTTTCTCACTGTTTGAGTTGGTTTCCAGTCATGTACAACTCTGGCAAATTTTCTTTTCCATTCATGAGGTCCCACCTGAGTTTTTGGTGTAAAGTTCAGCCAGAATAGCTGAGTGGTTCCTAAGATGGCAGGTAAAAAATCTACTCTGCTTTTCAAACGTTAAAACAACTTTGTTTGAGAAGCTCAAGTGTCTCCTCCTTTTGGTCAAGGACTCAGATTTGACACTTAGAAGAATGATGGCCTTTGTGCCAAGGAAGTACCTTGAGAAAAATCTGCCTAAATCCCAGGCCACAGGTGCTCAGTAGCTACCCGAGCCTGTTGTCAAAAATGTCCTGCTTCATCCTGGGGCAAACAGGGGCTTCTCTGTGGTTGCAGGATGAGCTGCTCCAAAGCCAGGTCTGACTACCAGGGCCAAGAACAGGAAGGCTGTTGTGTGGAATGCAAGTACTGCCTGTTGACAAGGCAAACTGCCTGACTCCGTGGGGCAGGACCACAGCTGAGTGAATTGTCCACCCAAGGGAGGATATTGGAAGGTTGAGTGGGACATAGGGTACGGGAAACTGGGATTGGACGGTTAAGGGACTGCAATATTCAGGAAGGAGTGGGGTGAGAACTGATTTGATGATTTGACCTGACAGTATTTTAAAAAAAAAAAATTACTTTTTGAACTGTTCTTGGGTCAAGGCAGCAAGGAATTAGAATGGTTGAAGGGATGAATGGGAGAGACAAATGTAGTTGATGGTGGCAAGTTTATTGGAGAGTGATACAGAGGCATGAGAAGATGTGGGCTAAGCTGATGAGTGCAATGCAGCTGGAGCAAGGCAGGTGAAAAAGCTTTATGAGCAGAACAGGCTGTGCCCATCTACTACTGTCCTTGTATATGATGGATCTGTTTGAGCTCCAGCTTGTCTTTTTCTGCACTACATACAGTCTTCTTTTGAGATTAATTTTTTTATTTTAAAGGGCTGGTCCACACACCCCTTGTGGCATGCCCAAGCATAAACCTAACTGCTATGTGGACAAGGTGGGTAATACCATTCCTTAGGTGATCTACCACCATGTCTTGTATGTTTGCTCTTTTGTGGTGCAGTGGTATGACCGGTGATGAGTGGATGAAACAAGTCCTTCCTACACAGGCTTCCAGTTGCATGCCAGAAAAGATCAGAATCTCTCTACTCTTGCTGAGACACAGAGCAAAAACCAGAATGCATCCTCTCAACCACATGGGGGGGGAAGGGAAAAATCAGTATTGGGATAAAATGTAATAAATTTCGCTTAGGGAAAGGGGGACGGCTGGCACGCACAGTTAAATCAGGAGCCAAAGGAAAATTGAATATGTGCTTGTTACCAAATCATCCTACACCCTAAAAGAACAAGAAGGTTTTGCAAACTGTCTCATAACTCCATATGCAGGTGTGTGTGTGGCAGCAAAGAGAGGTCAGTAGAGCAAGGGTGCATTGGCAAACAGACCTGTTTTCAGTATTTACTTTTCTTGAATACGTGACTTTGTTGTCTTGATAATGTTCTCAACTTTGTTGTACACAATGTCTTAGTTTGGTTTGTTGCTTCCTGCCCACGACTTGCTGGAGCTGGATCCCAGACTCCATAGCCAGGCTTTTGCAACAAGACACTGTTGTCAAGATAACAAATATTTTTCCCACCCTGATCAGTTTGGAACAGAGCATTTAGGGTTTTTTGAGCAGCCTATATTAACAGAGTGTTAACAGTCTGAAGTCAGGTGCTCAAGACTTTGCCACTGAGTCTCTTCTAGGCAGCAGTGGGGAATCCTGTCTTTTATGTCTGAGCCTGGAAAGGAGCCCCATTCTGATTCATGCAACCACACAACATATTTGATCCTTCAGTTTGATCCAGTGGAAAAAGAAGGTTGGCTAAAGACATCTTTTGGGCTATCTTAGAGATGCGCTTTCCTTTGTCAGTTCTTCCACTTAAGTAAGCCTTGTCTTCTTTATTTTTTCTAGCATAATGATACTGAGTTCTGCTTATTGCCAGGTGTTGAGGCAGGTGATTAAGTGTGTGGAGCTGCCATCTAGATTGTCCCTGGGATACCAGCTGAGCTGATCCTGCGCTCCGGCAGAGAAATCTGATTAATGCTCTGTCAGAGGCTTTAATTTTACTCATGTTTCGCAGAAATGTCAGTAGTTTCTTAAAATATGATACAGATACTGCATTTCAGTACTCTGAGATTATGCTTCCTCTGAGGATGTATGGAGAAATTTCAGGGCTCCTGAGAACTTCTACTGAGCAGGGAAAATAGCTCTTTAAGAGTCCTAATACACTCCAAAATCCACATGAACTCCTATGGGAACAGCTGTAGCATCTTTTTAACTCCATTCATCCACATTATGGCTATGTATCCAGGGAGTTTGTTTTGCTACCTGATTATTGTGGAAAATGGTTGCTATTTTAATTTTATTTTGCTCAGTCACTAAAGGTTAAAATGCTGGGAACTTTAAAGGGGGAACTGGAAGATGTTAAAATCAATCTGGATCTCTCTTCTCCTCTTGCTCTTTAAATGAAGATAAATAAGAGGGGAAGCTTTAGTAAATCATGGAAATTTACTGTAGTGGGAAGCATATTGCTAATATAAAGCCCTGTTTGTCTGCAAGGGTTGTTCAGGCTTACAAGACAAGTGCTCAGATGTTGTTTATCAGTGTTGTCCTAACCCAGAGGCAAGAGTTAAGTAACGTGCTGAATGTGGGCAGTGAGGGTTGTTTCTAATATTCCGATATGTTAAAAGGACTGCTTAGCTTCTGAAAGAAAGCAAGTGTTCCTTTGTATTTTAAATGACTATTCACGTTTACCCTAAATATTTTGTTTGTAAATTTGAGAGATACTGCATTCTGTAAAAGAGAAGGAACAGACTGTGAGTCATGTTTAAATTTGTAATTTTGAGGAATAGCTTAGGATGACACATCTGGGTACCCCTGTTCTTCATCCTCTTAAACATCCTCTTATCATTACGCTCTCAACATAATCTTATAAAGCAAAGCTGGTATTTCCATGATTCAGCAATCTTGAAATAAGGAATCCTGACATTCTGTTGTGCTGATTTTTATATTGCCTTTTAACATATTACCATAACAAATAGATGCACAATGTTTCTAAAAGTCACACCATGCAGACAGCAGGCCTTGTAATAAATTATTTATCAGGACTAAAAATAAGCAGATGCATTAAAAAATTACCAAATACACGAGAAAACAATAAATCTGAGCCTGTCTGCCTTGTGTTTGCCTGCTGTTTCCATTTTGATTGCGATTGGCTGGCAAGGGCTGCTGCTGGCATTGCACAATTGGCTTAGATGGGGAATTACAAAACAGGAGCATTTCCCTTGATCAGGACTCGGTAGCACATGCAGCTGAGCACAGGCAAAAAGGAAAGGTCACCCGTACAGAATCTCTCCCACAGATGTTTCCATTCCAGGGAAGCGCATCTGATCTCGTGGTTCTCGTCTATGACTCGGGGTTTTTAAACGCCGTAAGGTTTTCTTGTTTCAGCGAATGTAAAAATGCACCTAGGAAGAAGTTTGCAACCTGGAAGCATATGAGAATTTCAGATGCATGGAGCAATATCATGGAATGATAGAAGGATCTGTGTTTAGAAGGAGTTTTAAATATCGGTGAGGAGGAAGACAATTCAAACAGAAGGTTAAAAGCAGATGGAAAAGAAAAACAGCTTTATTTTCATCCTGAAATTATACTGAAAACAGCATGAGGAAGGGGTTATATCAGCACCAAAACAGTGGAGAATCGAAGGGGTTTATTTTCCTGTGAAATAATCCCTTACAAGAAATGCAAAAACTGTCTTTCATGAGAAAGAATTCATTATTCAAATACCTTTTGAAACTCTGTGAAGCTCATATGGAACTGCAGCATCTTTGCAATGGTGTATAGCATACCTTTATTTAATGAAGATTCTGCACAAAAAGGTCAAGGTACTTTTTTTTAAAGCAATTTTTTAACTGCTTTTCTGAGTGAGAGAACCAGGAGTTACATTTGTATTTTCAACTAAACTTTCCCTTTTTCTCCTTTCTTCCTTCAAACTTAGTTTACGAGATGCTGGAATTGGATTTATTCTTGTCATAGATCGCAGACAGGACAAATGGACCTCCGTGAAAGCTTCCATACTGCGGATAGCAGTGAGTACTGTTTAAAATTAACTCCTTTGAAAGACTTTTCTGTGTTGAACCTTCTTCTTTCAAGTTGAAAACCAGCAAATTGGTGTGTTTGTTTTTTTTAATTCAAAAAATGCCAGCTAATAAATGATACAAAAAGTAACCAGTAGTTCTTTTGTATCCTGGCTGACTGGACCGAGCATCATGTGTCTGTGATGTGCTTGTAATGCACATCTCAGTGCACTCAGTACATCTTCCTAAGCATGCACTTGGAGAGCATGTGTGTGTGTGTGTGTGTTTTTGAATACATGCAGCGTGCAGCTGTCCCAGATGGGACGTAATATTTTCATGGACATCCCATAGAGCTTTGGGTCTACTTCTCACTATTTAAGTAAGCTTCCCTTTTAGGAAGAGAAGAGGGTGAGGGTTCTGATTAAGTTTACCACTTGTGAAAGGAATTCATATGTAAAAACTGATCATGTAATGTTTGATTTAAAACAGGGATTAATTGTAAGCACAAAAATCTCATGTGCCCTCTATGATCAGTCAACAGCACATGCTGTTACCTTGCAGTCTCCCTTTTAATTAATGCCTTAAAAATCTGAAAAATAAGTTATTAGAGGCTTTTTTTTTTTTTTTTTTTTTTTTAACAGAACTAGGCAAGGACAAATTCATGTTTATCATGTGCTTATCCTACTTTTGGTCTACTTTTTTAGTTTTTATTTGTTTGGTTGGCTGGTTGTTTTTTTTCTTGCTATCCTTGCTTGAATTGTTAGTATTAATAATCTTTCCAGTAAGGGCTGAAAAACAGAGCTGTAAGCATCTTTTCTTTAATATTTAGTTGCTGAAAATTTTTGGTTCGAGCAAAATAAAAGTCAAATCAAAACAGTGTTTGTGTAGCCTCATTATGACCAAAGAATTTTTTTCTGTATTGTAAGTTAAAAGGTATTTCTTTAAAGGTAGTACATTATTCCCACTATATGACATACTGTGAATGACTATATAATGATCTATCCCCAAATATTATATCATAATACACAAATTATATCAAATATACAAATTTTTACACAGGTAAGTATGTTAAGAACGTTACGTTATTGAAAATACACTAAGTATTAGCAAAATTTGCTTTTGCAGCTCATGTTGAAATTTTGAGATGCAGCAGTGAGTAGATTCCATTAGTGAAAACTGAGAGCATGGGATGATTAAAGAAAAAGTGCTATATCTCTGGAGGTTTTGAATCTCTTCAAAATTCAATGCTGTAGTTTCTCTTCAAGGACAGATAAGCACTGCACCGATGATGGTCTCTTTATTTGCATAATTGGGGTTGTAAGGGTCGAGGAGAACTACAGACATGTTGCTTATAACCTTAATGACAACATTTATGAAACATTCCTCCAGTGTGTGTTATTTTGCTTAGAAGCACTGTTTGTAGAACCTGAGTAACTATTCCCCGTTATAAGGGATATGTCATTGTCGTGATGGTGTTGGTGCCTAAGGGATTTGCCTGGAGAAGGGTGTTAAGTGCAGGGAACACAGCAGGTTGCAGTACTCTTGATGATGAGTTATTTTGCTTTTTCCATCTTTCCTCATTCTTCTGTGAGGTTTATTTAAAAGAGAAATCATGTTTCTGAACTGAAGTCTAGTCTCTTAGAGGCATGATTTTTTTTTATGTTTGCTTCTGTTTTTGAACAGCACTGGTGTTGGCTTTGAATTGCATCCATCAGTATATGTAGCAGTCCTCCTGTTGGGCTTCATCAGTAGTCACATCAACCCTGAACACTTGAAAATTTTATCTTCCTGTTTCAAAAGAAGATATAGAAAATTGTTGTCCATCATTTCTTTACTATAGGATTTGCAATAAATAAAATTAATACATTTCAGCTGTGTTCCTTAAAAAAAAAACAAAAACAAAACACAAAAAACCCCAACACACCAAAAACTAAACAAAAAAAACCAAAACCAAATACAAGATATGTATTTTGTGCCAAAGTCATGAGGTCCTATTGATGGACAAGGTTTTTTTTTTCCTCCTAATATCTAATCTAAAAACCTACCTCCTTTCAGTTTGAAGCCCCTTGTCCTATCACTCTCTACCCTTGTAAAAAGTGTCTTTGTTTTTTTTTGATTGCTAAAGCTGATTGCTGTGTGTTAGGATAAATGTCTCATGTTATTTGAGAAAAGAGTTGTGGCTGTTGTGTTATTATGTTGTAGTTTCTGCAGCATCCTTTCTACCATCTTTCCTGATTTTCCTCTTACCATCCCAAGGGAGTTGACCCTCCTGATTTGTGAAATCAGAAATGCCAGCACAGAGTGCTGTGGCTGGAGCATCTGCCAATCACTAATAGTTTGACAACTGTAGGAAGTCCATTTGTAAGCACTGAGCAATGATGAACTGAATCTGTATTTCATGAAGATACTTAAAGGTTGCTGTAGTCAAGACTGTGAAGCTGAGGTAAACCTATTTTTGCAGACACAGTGGAAGGTCAGTGTCTGCCCTGCTTGCCCAGGATGACTGCTGCTCAAGCACATACAGGACAGCGGGACTGAAAGCACAACCAGAGGCACTGGGCTGAAAGATGGCCCCTCCTTTCCTGAGATGTGACAGAGATTGTGGCAAGAACATGCCCAGGCATGGAGGCTTTGCTGTTGATATACTCTATTTGATGAAGTTGCAGTGGGTAGGTGGCCCAGGAGATTGTCCATAGCAAGTGCAAGACTGCAGACTCTGTGGCTTAAGAGACACTGCAAACAACATTTTTTTTATTATAATTTTTCCCTTGATTTAGCTAAAGTGAACAGCCTAGGAAGAATCTAGTCTACTAGAGTAGTCAGGCTGAGAGGTGGAATGCTGGTAGAGATTCCAAAAGCCAAGTTTTGTGTTGTTTCGTGTGAAGTCTTGAGAGTCTTGTTCCTAGAGAGGCAGTAGAAATTGAAAGGTATTACAGGAAAAATATTGAAGTGAACAATAATATAATTAATTATCAATTGATAATAATAAAAAGAATAAGGAACAACTGCAAATTGTTCACTCTTATTACACTTTTTGTGGGGATACAGAAGTTCTTGAACTTTTTGCCCTGTCAGCTGCAGTGGTTCTTGTAAATTTGTATTAGAATGTTCTGTTCTCAGCTAAATACAGTGTAAGGAGTATAGAGAAACACACAAGACATTGCTGAACATTGTAGCTCCTGTTGCTGAGCAAGTGGGTAAGCTCACAGATGAGTGTGCAAGGAGGAGCAGTCATGTAACTTGATAATATCAACAGCTCTGTATTGTCCCAGCTGAAGCTAGGTGAATGACAAATGCCAGACAAATTGATCCCCTTTCTTTCCATGCAGTCAAAAATTACTCTTTTAATTCTCTTTTTATTTCTCTCTCCTAGTGTTACCATACCCAAACAAGCAATATTCAATCTGCAATTGTAGGAGCAAGGCTCTGTACTAGTCATGGTGTTTTAGGGTTTCACACTGCTCTCTTCATAGTTCCAGTGCATTTTCTTAAAAAAATGAAACCTAATCCTTACATTGTCTCGTCTTGTCTCATCTTCCTCCATTCTGAGGGAAAAGTTAAAGTGTGAACTCATACTTTTAGACAAACAAAAAACTGTACTCAGTATCATTAAAAGTTTTACCATAGCCATCCATCAGCCTCATCTTGAAGGTCTAGAGAAAATAAACTTCCTTAACTTGATGCTTAAGGGGCAACTGATTTTGAGGAAGCAGTTAGTATGGAGGTCACTTGGGTGGTAGTGAGGAATTTTTATCCGGTTACAAAACTTCGCAGCTATTTCTAAACATGACAAGAAATGGGTTTTATTCAACCTGCTGGAGAGGAACTTTGCTTTGTGATTTACCATCTTTAACTAAGGATGCATTGCATGCAGATTTCATACCTTCTGTTTTGGACTGCACTGTCCAGAGCATTGCTTTTCTTAGCTGTTTGTGAATCAAAATGCAGTCACTGTAACAGAGGCTTAGCCCAATAGTTGCTTTGAAGATTGGGGCCAAGACTGTTAGCTGGTAGGAAGAGACCAAAAGCCAATGGAGAGATTAGAGTGTTTAGGCTGGACTCGATCTTGGAGGTCTTTTCCAACCTAATGGATTCCGTGATTTTGTAATAACAGCCTAAACTCTGCAGGAGTCAGGCAGTCCCATTCTTGTGCTGTCTGGAGTCTTATCATTGGTTTGACATCCAAGGTGGGAATTTTCTTTCAGTCTCTGGTCATGTTTCTCATTTTGCTTGGATTCAAAACAAGAACTTGGCAGTATGATGAAGCTAGAACAGTATTTGTATTAGTTTTGTGGCTATTGATATGAATGAGTCCAGTAAGTGATAAATGAAAAATTTATCTTGAGACTAGTATGTTTTTGTCTTGTTACTTTGGATGTTTTGAGCCTACTACAGGTTAAGGTACTTTTGCAGTTGTCCTGGTATAGTTAGCCATTTTTCCTTTTTACTACATTTTTTTTTTCTAATATGTAAAAAGAGATAAGTGAGTCACTTAAGCTCTGAAAACAGGATCATAACATCACAAGCATTAAACACAGATCTAATGCAAAACAGTTCAATGCTTTTAAAACTAGATTTTAAACTGCTGCTTTTATGAATCAATTTAATTCAAGGTTCTTTCCTGACAAGAAGTCTGTGTAAGAGACTTCATTCTAGCCAGGAATAAAGAGTATTTATTAGCTCCTTTATATACAAAAGTATTTTGGAAAGAAGTGTGCTGTGGCTTATGGCATGTTAGTGAGTGCAGAAGGAAAAACACCATCACAGTGTTTTGTAATGTGTGTATATTGAAGCTGGTCAGAAAATGAAAATTAGCGTTGTTCCAAGTATTTTGAGACAGAACTACTAAAACTGAGTCAAGTGTTAACTCTTTGATGGCTCACATGGTTCTGATATTTCTGAAAACTGGGTTAACTTCAGGGTCAAGGGTCAGTACGGGTGGTGGTACAGACAGCCTCTACCATCAATAGTCTGTGAAGAAAACTGATAGTTAGGATTATATGCAACTGCCTTGTGGTCCAGAGGAGGCCACAAAGATGATCAGAGGTCTGGAGCACCTCTTGTATTAGAACAGGCTGAGAGAACTGGGGTTGTTCAGGTTGGAGAAGAGAAGGCTCCAGGGAGACCTCATTGCAGCCTTTTGGTACTTAAAGGGGGCTTAGGAAAAAGAGGGGGACTGATTTTTGACACAGGCAGATAGTGATAGAACAAGAGGGAGTGGTTTTAAACTGAATGAGTCGAGACTTACGTTACAAGTTAGGAAGACATTCTTTACTGTGAAATTAGTGAGGTATTGGAAAGGTTGCTCAGAGAAGCTGTAGATGTTAATGTAGTAAAGAAAGACACTTGTGGGGGGGAAAAAAACCAACCAGCTTTTCAAACACACAAGCCCTTCTTCAAATCACAGTGAGGTTCATTGACTTCAGTGAAACAGTCCTTGAAGGCCCTTTATTTGATGGCACTACTAAACATACATGAACATTTTTTGGTGCTTAACATTTGGCACAGCATTATTGAGGAGTCATTGTTTGCTCTGTCTGCTTAGCATACAATGCCTTCAAACAAATATGCTGCTGGACTGGAACAGCAGTTGTTTTGTTTTGTTTTGTTCTCGTGTTCAGGGTGAAGTTAACTGGTCAATGAAGTTCACAGGCATTTAAGGAATATCTCTTACATCATAGTATTGTATCTTCAAGCCAGGACTTCAGAAAAAAAAAAAAGTTTTAGTAAAAATGGTAGTATTTGGACAGTGCAGATACACCCAGAGGGTGGTTGGGCACTGGAACAGGCTCCCCAGGCAAGCGGTCACAGCACCAAGCCTGACAGAGTTCAAGAAGTGTTTGAATTATACACTCTTAGGCACATGGTGTGACTCTTGGGGATGGCCCTGTGCAGGGATAGGAGTTGGACTCAATGATCCTTGTGGGTCCCTTCCAACTCAACATATTCTGTGATTCTGTGAACTGTAATTGCTGGCACAGGTCCAGCATTGTTTACTGTAATAATCCTCCCTTTTCTTTTTGTTGTTTCACAAAGATCAATTTGCAGATTTGACTCCTAGCAACAAGAAGCAGAGGAGGCATCATTTTTAAGACTTGAGGGTTTTTTGATGGAAGAAAAACCCAAACCAAACTAAATAGGAGGCAAACTAGTGGAGACAAGATGCTATTGTAGACAAAGTTAGTGTAATCTAGAATTTGAGCTTATTCAGAGAGAGGGGAAAATTCTGACAAGCCTCAAATGGGAATTCAAGTGATACAAGACTGTGTTGACTTCAACAGCATTGTTCTGTGTAGACACACAGAGATGGACAATAATTGTAATGTGTATTCTCTGTTCTCTCTGAACTGAACGCTGTACTTAATTTTGTCATGCAATTAAACTCAATTTGATCAGAGCTAATACAAAGTTCAGAAAAAATTGCCGTCACGTTTCTTTTGGGTACTGCTGTTTGCTTCAGTAATAGACTAAATATTACAGAATAACATCTTGGGTTGGGAGGGACCTTGAAAGACCATGTGGCCCAACCTTTCATGGGGAAAGGGAGCCCTGATGAGATTATCTAGATGCAACCCTGTGCAGTTGCATTTTGAAAACCTCCAATGATAGGGATTCTACTGCGTCCCTCAGGAGTTTGTTCCAGTGAATGATTGTTTTGCTGTTAAAAAAAAAGAAATATATATTTCTTATATGGAGATGAAGAGAGAGCCTCTGTCCTCTTTGTAGCTACCCTTCAAGTGGCAGCTGGAATACTGTGATGAGGTGCCCCCTGATGCTTCTTCATCTCTTGCTGGGCAGGTTCTCCAGCCCTTGGGTCATCTTCACAGCCCTCCTTTGGACCCTCTCCAGTCTCTGTGTTTTTCTTGAATTGTGGGTACCACAACAGGACGCAGCACTCCAGGTGTGGCTGGACAAGTGCTGAGCAGAGTGTGATGATCACATCTCTGTCTCTGCCACTCACAGCCCTGTGGACGCAGCCTGGGATCTGATTTGCTGTGTCTGCCGCAGTGGCACACTGCTGACTCCTGCTCAGCTTGTTGTCCACCAGAAGCCCCAGGTCCCTTTCAGCATATTTCCTCTGAAATGCTCAAGTGAAAAATCTAGACTACGGTCACAATGTGTAAAAGTGAGAATTTAAAGTTAGAATGAAGAAATTTATTACTTGTACATGTACCTTAAATTTCCTTTTACTGCTTGGAGTCTTTATGTTTCATAATTTTATGCTGTCTTTGTGTTTCTAATGTATCTTCCCAACTTGAAGCTAGCAGGCTGGGCATTTCCCAGCACTCTGAGTGAGGCTAAAGGGATTGCAAATATTTGCTGCCATAAACAGTATGTCAGGAAGTCATATGGTAGGGTAGATATCTCACAAGAAAGCACCTTTTTATTTTTTTCCAAAACGTGTTATCTGAAAGATATTTCTTGTTGGAGTTTTTCCTTCTGAAATTTTGGCATTGCCATTGAATAAACTTTATATTTTGGAAGTTAGAGGTGAAAAGTAACAGCTCACTCAGATTCCAAACACTGCTGTTACAGATCCAAAATAAATTGGCATATCTGTTGAATGTGTGAAATAAATAAACTATACAGCTATCATTCTAAAAAGATTATTGAGAAGTTATAATTTAAAAAATCTTTCTGTTCTGGTAATATCTCTTAGTATGAGCAAAATAATTTTCTTATATAAATTTGCAGTTGTCCCTTGTATGATAATTCAGAAAAAATGGTAAAAAAGGATCATCTTTTCTTGTTCTTCTGAATATAGTGAGTAATTTTGTATAAAAAGTTTTTGTTCTGATAACTGTGGGTTAATTAGCCTACTAATTTCACTAGTTAGTAGCTAGTTTTTGTGAACAGGGTACTTTTTTAATGAACTTTACAGTTCAAGGATGAGGAACTACTGAGGATAGTCAGAATTACCTGGATTCTGTTCCCAGCCCTCAGACTTCTTTGGGACTGAACTACCATGCTTTCTAGAAAATTTGGACATCACTGAAATGGAGACAGATTAAGAAGCTCAAACCTTTAAGGTTCCCTAATTGAATTGAAATCTTCATTGTATACTGAATATCTGGGGAACTACAATGAATCTCTGAAGTTTTCCAGAAAGTTTTGAACTACTTTTCCCTTTAAAAGTTTATCATTTGCAATGCTAAGTACCTGGAACCCTTGGAAATTTCAAAATTAATATTAAGTCACTCATCAACCATCCAGATACTAACAGTTCCTACCATACCAACAGTTCCAACCATCCAGATACTAACAGAGCATAGCATAACAGCTCCTTCAGTCACTGGGGCTTTTTTGTTGGCTTTTTTCTTTTTTTTTTCCTTCAGTAACTCAGTTTGCTAGAAATGTGAAATAATTTCTAACAGTATAATGAAGAAAATTGCATACTTAATCATTATAATGATCATTTCTTCAGTGAGTCTAAGTGCCTCCCTACAGTAGAAATACTGAATAGAGGAGAACATTTGCATGTTTTCAAGAATGGCTAAATGCCAAAAATGCAAGCCTCTGCCATAGCAGAGGTTGATTTTTAGTAATTTAATGCTATTTTTTTGTTTCTCTTGTGTTTTCCTTCTATCACTTGTAGAACCAGGGAAGATCCATCAGACTACCAGTAGGAAGATGATGAGAGAAGCCACAGCTGTTATGCTTGATGTTTAATTTTACTTTTGTCTACAAAATTAAAGCTTATTTCTAAGCTACTGCCTGAGAAATTCACTCTCTGTGGCAATAAGTTGTGTAGGCAACTGGCAAGGTAGCATATGCACAAATTAGAAATCTGTTGTTAGGTGTTCAGGGAATAAAGGAGATTTCTCCTGGCACCTTCTATTAAAGAGAAGATAAAATACCCATAAAAGTATTGCTGTTAAAAAAATACTAAGCCACTCCTGTTTGTTCATTAGCCTCCTTGGGTAGGTTGTGATCTTAGCTGAAGAGCAGTACAAGCCAGCCCTGAAAAAAATTGATTCATAGAGAATAGATCCCTGTTCCCAAAGACAAGTAAATGTCTTTTGAATGAAGCTCTTTGTACTAGTCATGTAACTACATGATTGGTCACCCCATTATGGGAGGCCTTTGATACAGTTGGTTCGTGGTTTATCAGGGGCTTCTCCTTGCTCAGAAATATTTTCTGGAGCTGAGACACAGAAAATAACAGACTAAACTTACTTTGCAGGCATCTTTCCCAGGAAACCTGCAACTGGTCCTTGTTCTGCGCCCAACAGGATTTTTTCATCGAGCTCTCTCGGATATTGCTTTCAAATTCGGCAAAGATGAGTTTAAAATGAAAGTACCTGTAAGTAATCCTCTGGTTTCACTTTACTACCAGGAATCTGTAAAAGTACTTAATGTAGCCAATGAGGACCAAAAAATACCCACCGAAAAGCCATGTTTAAAGGCAGTTCTAGTAATTTTAGCTAATTCATGATGATTTGTTCTTGAAAGAGCATGTGAATTTTGAGGCAGATGCATTTCCTGTGGACAAATGCTATGGTTTCTGTCATTTGAGCAAACATACAATGGATGCTTTTGTTTTATTGCCAGTATACCCACTGATTGTACTTTTGTTTGCCAAGGTACAGCATTGATATTTTAAAATAAACTTTGAAACTATATAAGCTAATGATACAACTTTATTTTGCTTGTCAGATGTAAATTTCAAGCTGAAAAGTAGTCTTTAAGATACTTTTCCCCTGTCTTTCAATTAGTTTGTGGAATCAGTCCTTACATGACAAATCCATGTAGAAACTATTATTCTCTCATGGAGACCCAGGACAACAAGGAAAAATTGGGAAGAAGTGAATGTTGCTCTTAGAAAATAGCCAAGTATGGTTTATCAAGATAAAACAACCTGGCAGTGTAATTTATGTTGTATATACCGTAAGCCTTTTCTCTAATATGCCTGGTGCTCATGCTTCTATTCAGTTACTTACATTTACATCAACTTCAACTGAAACAACTGTTGTTTTTCTATACCCAAAGGAAATAGTTCCATCACTTACTTCTATATTCAAGTGAATTTTCTCTGTCGATGGCTTAGAATCCTTAACGAGGGACTTGGCACCACTGATCACGTTCACTTCGTTCTCTCCTGCTGCAGATCATAATGCTGGGCTCAGTATCAGAACTGCAGGGTTACATTGATAAAACACAATTAACAGAAGATCTTGGTGGCACCCTGGATTACTGCCATAACAGATGGCTGTCCCGTCGCACTGTAAGTCTTAGGTTTTGTTTTAACTTTTCAGTTTAATGAACCCTTCTGTTTTATACCCTGTCATTTATAAAACAGATTCCAAGTGATGCAAGTTGACTTGCTCAAGAGTGAGAAGATGTTCCCAATGGTACTTAGTCATCTTAGAGAAATAATATGAGTAATAACTTGGGAGTGGTTTTCTGAACACTTGGAGCAAAGGAACTACAGTGTATTATTGTGTTGAGGTTTATTGGTTTTGCTACAAGAAGGAAAAAGCTCAAGTTGTAAAATAACTCCAGATTATAAAAATATGAAGAAGATACACCTGATACAAGCTTAAGAAAAATATACAATTAAGGAATTAATGGTGACGGTATCTGTTGCTTGCAAAATTATACTTTCACTATTTTTCAGTCTTGTAATTCATCTGTTTGGGTTTGTTTTGAGAGTTATATTTTCTGTGTATGTGTTTGTTTGTACATATGTGTGTGACAAGCTCAAAACATCTTTAATGCTTTTTATTCCAAAAGGCTATAGAAGGTTTTGCCCAAAAGGTTAAGCAAACAGCTCAGATTCTTCAGTCCTTTGGGACTGAGCTGGCTGAAACAGAACTACCAAATGATGTGCAGTCCACCAGCTCCCTTCTTGCAACACACACAGAAAAAAAGGACAAAATGAAGGTATGTAATTTTTGTAAAGACTCTGTCTTATAGTTAAATTGTGTTTTAAGTTATAGCTAGCAATGTAAATAGGAAATATGGGGCATGTTAATAGAAAGTAACAATGTTAACCACTGAAATGGTGTTGAACTTACTTGTTTTGATGTTAAAAATCCTTTTTGCATTCAAAAATGACATTTCTTGAGGCTAAGTTTATGTATGTACAAGTGCATAATGATTTGTATGTGCAACAGTAATTTCTTTGTAAGTATGGTGTGTCTAATATGTACTTTTGTTTGCAACAGGAAATTTGATTGTATTTGCATGCACATGAAAATGTATGGCCTTTTGAAGCATTAACAAATGTTCTTTCAAATAGGCTTAAATGAAAACTATTTGGTGGTTTCAAAATGGTACATCTAAAATTTTTTAGATATTTGTAGCCTAAGGCGACACTAGAAGGCTGTCTACCATTCAACTCAGTTACACTGGGATGTTAAGATGGTAACCTTGGAAAAAGATTACATTTTTCATTTACTGTCATTGTCAAACACTGCTTTTTAATCAGACTGTGTTTGCTCTATTGCTGTTAAAATCCTTCCAGTGTGCTTAAAAAAAAACACCACCACACAACTTTTGGGGATTTTGTTTTGTAGGAGGACATCAGGGTAGCAGTAGAACAGGGAGGTGATATCCTTGGAAGTATAACAAAACCAGTCACTGAGAATCCTGAATACAAACTGAATCAAGATCAGCTAGACAATCAAACAACGGTTGAAAGGTGAGAGGTGTGAAATATTGAACGTGCTGCTCTTCTGGGATTTTTTTGACCCTTCCCAGCTCTTTTGCTTAGGTCCATATGCATGCTTTGCAAATAAGTAGATGTTGCAAGGTGAACATTATAAAATGTTTCAAAAACAACTCCTCTTGTCAGATCTGTCCTGAGCAAAGTAATGTCCACTACTGGATCACCTGACTATAAGGAAAGGAGGTTGGAGTTCTGGTACCAACAGAGCAATGCTGTTTGTTTTGGGGTTTTTTTGGGGGTTTTTTTGATAATATTTGGACTATATAGTTGAGCAGCTTTGTCTTATATTAAAGAACATCAGTGTTTTGTTTAGAGACTAACGAAAATTTTGCTGCTGTAGGGAAGGCAGGAGGGGAGGATGGAAGTAATATATCCATTCTTTTCAGTAAATTTGTCCATTTTCATTAGGTCCTTTTGAAGTGGGAGGGTTTGGTTGTTTGTTTTGTTTTTTTTTCTTTAAACCTGATATTTATCAATGTTATGAGTAGCCTTTAAAGGGCTACTAGGTAGTACACCACTTTTGAGGAATCAATGCACCAATTTCCTATATGCTTCCTTTGATAAGTAATAGATGTTGCTTTCCTTTGCTTCCTGCCTGTCATACACAGCCCCACACACCTTAACTTACTGCCAGGTTTTTAGACATTATATCACCATAGGACAGATGTAGATTTTCACAAAGCTATGAAAGCATAGCTCATTTCCCCCAGGCAGTATTCTGCATTCTTTTTTTTATCTGTCATTCTGTGTTTCTGTTACACTGAGGCTGACTTTTCTTTCCAAATAACTGTCCATTACAATCCATAAAGCTTGGCAGAATTCAGTTTTTTTGGTCGCTGTTGCTATCAGCTATCCAAGGACAGTGGGGGCGGGGGTTGCTGATTTATCCGTAACATTCCTATTCAATACAATATCTGACGGAAGCTGGAACAAACTCTGTGCGTGTCCCTGCCTTTTTTCTAATCGGTTTTAACTTTTAAATTCAGAGTTTGTTTCTGTGATATTGAAGACAAAAGCTCATTAAAATTCTAGTGTACAGCCTTCCCTGGATGTAGGCTAAATACAGCGAAGTGCACTGTAAAAAGTCCATAGGTTCTCATACTGTCAAATGCAATATTAGAAGATAAGTTAAAAATTAAAAGTGTTAGGGCATTTGCCAGAAATATAATTGAAGAAGGCTTTTTTCATTGTGCTACTGCTGTACACTTGCCTATGATATTTAAGTAGTAACTCTGCTTGGAAGAGAAGGAGCAATGGCCCTCAGGTTTATTGTGAGCTTTGCTTCAAGGAATGAAATCTAAGGGCAACTGGCTGGTCACAGCAGTATGAATTTTTATTTTAATTTTTCCTCAGAGCCTAAGGCTTGGGTTCCTCCAGGTCCTAGCCCACACACATTTGCATGTTTTATTTATGTACATTAGACCCAACTCCCTTTGCCCCCAGGCCAGAGCTGAGGTGCTTCAAATCACACTTGTCCATTTTTCACAACTTAGTGTTTGTGTTGGGTTTCAGTTTTAAATCAGTGTTATTCTAGGAAATGATTCTGTGCAATACTAAAATGTTTCCTGTATCCAGTTTATTTATTCTGAAAAATATTACTTTGGGGAGAGTGTTTGTTTACTGTGGAAGATTGCATTGTCCCTTGAAGGTTGTACCCATCATTCTTACAGTGGGGTTTTTTTGTGTTTTGTTTTGGTTTTTTTTTTTTTTTTTAAAAGACTATTGGCTCAATTACATGAAACGGAAACTGCCTTTGATGAGTTTTGGATTAAGCATCAGCAAAAACTTGAGCAGTGCCTGCGCCTTCGGAATTTTGAACAGAATTTCAGAGAGGTGAGAACTTCTTGGTGGCAGTCAATATTTGGTAATATAGACATGATTCAGAAGAAAATACTTCCTCTTCTTGTTTTTGCAGTTCTTATGTGTGCTTGAAAGCTTTCTCCAACCTTTTACTTGTCCTTACTTGACATACTGCTATCTTTACTGCTTTGAATTCTTGCCTATAGAGACATAACAGCTTTCCTTCTGCAGTCTTTTTTCCATGCACCCAGCAGTGTGTAAGTGTTCAAAAACCCCTTTGAAACCTGTTCTGTACCACAGAAGTATGAAATGCTGCTGCAATGCTTTCATCTTGCCAATAGGCCCTTTTATGGAACCAAGACTCAACTAAACCTTCTGGCTGAAATTTTATTAAAACTGTCTCCAACACTGTGGGTGGGAATTTGCAACCACACTGTGAGAAGCTGGGTGGAGGCTGGAGGCTGAGCTACAATTTTTACAGCCAGTTTCTGATCTCATGTTGTTTAACTCACATGCTTGATGGCATCTACAGTTCCTTTATGCTGGTGTAGTTGATCTCGGAGCGCAGCCACTGTGTCTCCATGAGAGCAACACTCAGAAACCCTGTTACAAGTGTGTATCTCTCTGCTTCTCAATCAGTTGCTCAGGTGGGGACCTCTCCCTCATGTTTTGCTGGGGACATTAATTTTCCTTTGTATCATTGTCATCTGGTAAAAGCAAGATCATAAATGTTTCCTGAGTTCCATTAGTTTTCCTGCGTTTTGTTGTTTTGGTGTTTTTTTTCAGTACCAGGAAACACGATTACTTCAATGCATTTTCTTTGTATTTGTTTTCATTTAGAATTGGGGGTAGAGGTAAGCTGACAAAAAAAGTGATCTGTCTCTGTGTCCCAGTAACTGCATAATTTGAGTCACCTGACTGCAAATAGTTGCTATCAGCTATTTAACTGATGGGTCTCCAGAGAGGTGCCACCCTCTTCATTCATACGTAGCTGCGTCTCATTTCAGGTCAAAGCAGCTTTGGATATTGTGTCTGAGAGACTGTCTGCTTTCACAGATGTGGGAAACAGCAGTTCACATGTGGAGCATATTTTGAAAGATCTTGCCAACTTCGAAGAAAAATCATGTGTAAGAACTCTACAAGTCTCCTTAATTTCTACTATGACAAAGTATGTGCAGAAGGGAATGGTATTTGGTTGTTGAGTATGTCTTATGAGCAGAGCTTAAGTTGACGACAGGGCAGAATCAGTGTCTCAAGTAGCATGCAGAAGAAATTTGGAGTAATGTCTTTAGCTACTGGAGCTGAGACTACATCTGAGACTAATTCTAGAGCATCCCTTAATGAAGAGCAGGGTGACCAGTCACAAAGTGTGATTGCTGCACTGAAGAATTGAATAAATTGTCTACATAGTCAAGTTCTGCACTTAGTGATCAAGGGGCCACTTTGATTCCTATTAAAACCTCTTATTTCATTAAATCTTAGACATTAGAAAACTGTGTATTGAATGTACAGTGTGTTAAAAGATGGCCAACAGAAACATGCACCCTGAACAATGTAGAAAGGGAACCCTTTTCTGATCTGTGCTTCACAGTGAAATATACTGCTCTCTAGGTGAGGTCATTGTTCTTAAGGCTGAGATAGATATTTTTTAATTCATGTTCCGATTGCTGCTGTACCCCAGATTGCATACATATACACACAGGATGCTGCTGAATAAGATGTAGGAAGACAATAGTGTTTACTTCACAGGGAGGAACATGATTAAACTTATTAATGTTTCTGAAGTACTCTGATACAGAAAGGAAGAAGGCATAAAAGTTCTTGGGCATCTGGAAAGACAGGAAATCACTTTAATTTATTAATCAAGGAAGCTGTTAACTAAAGATGTATTCTTTATCATGTGTGTATTTTACTGCATAAAAATAATATTGACATTTTTTTCATTGATCTTGATCCAAGGAAAGATTTACCTAAATCCGTACTTGCTTTCTTAGGAAACTATAGCAAAAGCCAGAATGCTAGCCTCAGAGGGTGATGCTTTTATTCAAAGCAATCATTATGCTGTGGACTCCATTATTCCAAAATGCACTGAACTTCATCATCTCTGTGATGCCTTCACTACTGAGACAGAACGGAGGAGAAATCATCTTAGCAAATCTCTGGAACTGCATGACTTACTAGAGAAGGTAAATTTTGAATGGAACAGTTGCTTCCCATTTTGTTTGCTAAAACAGTTGTCATAATGGTAGGTAGTATTGTTTTGGTGTGTTGGAAGTTTTGTCCTTAAGTAGCTGAACATGTCATAAGTAGAGGTATGAGGTCTTTTAGGCCTCTTAGTGTTTGATGCTGACATTGGTGCATTCTGAGCCTCTTCTCTGTTTCTAGTCTATGAAGTGGTGTGATGAAGGAATTTATCTGCTGGCTTCACAACCAGTAGACAAGTGTCAGTCTCAGGATGGTGCAGAATCAGCATTACAGGAGATCGAGAAATTCCTGGATACTGGTGCTGGCAATAAAATCAAGGAGTTGAATAAAATTTACAGAGAGTATGCACACATCCTCAATGAGGACCTAAAGGTACCAGAAGATGTTTATGTGTATCTGTGTGTCCATTTGTTTATTTTAGAATTGCTCTCTTGTACTGCCATTGCTAAAGCTAAATAATCAGTACTAGGAGTTATACCTGGGAATTGTAAAGCCTACACATTTCCTTACCTATGTCATGTCATATCTATAGATAAACATTAAGGATTTCAGAGTCTTTTAATAACTACTTCCGTTTTTTCAGACAGTAGGATTGCTTTTTAAAAAAAGAAAATCTCCTGAGTATTTGAAGTATCTTTTTTTTATGCAGCAAGACCATGATATTTTCTGTCCTTGATATTTGCTTTGTAACTGCTTTTGGTTTTTTGATGTTTTTGTTAAGAACTTGAGAATATATCCCTTTTCCTCTTGGTTGATCTCTTCATGTAACAGAACCTTTGGACATTGTCAAAAAAACTTTTCCTTTTTTGAAATTGAAAACCTGAATCCCAGATTTCTCTATAACAAGCATACAAAATACTTTATGAAGTGATGTTCCAATTTTTAAATGTACTAAATGACAGTCAATTATGCCTTGTTAGGAGAGAAGAATTAGTGTAATATTTCCATATGTGGTATAAAAGTAATTGCAATTTCAAATCAATATTATCTAAATGTCAATATAACTTGTTGATAGGTCTCTGACAGGAAATAAAAAAATTTAATAAATTATTTAAATTATTATATTAAGTTATTTTTTATTTCTATGGCAATGGTAGGAGCACGTGCAAAAGGTTTTCCAGAAGCAAGAAAGTATGGAAGAAATGTTTCAAAAGAGACAAATAAGTCTTAAGAAACTGGCAGCTAAGCAGACACGTCCTGTTCAGCCTGTTGCACCAAGACCTGAAGCATTTGTAAAATCTCCTTGTACCTCTCCAGGTAAGTTACTGTATTAGCCTTTAATTTTTTTGTGCTGTGCTGAAAAACTTCAAGAAACTTTCAGCCATAATTTGTAGTTGCACAAACATCTGTTTCAGATCTGATCAAGTTTTAACTGCAGTTTTATTCTGGTTTACGTGCTTAGGTCTTCAAAGAGAATGTGTACCCAACTCAGAAAGCAGTGCTCTTCGGAGGGTAAACTACAGAAGAGGAAAGGTAATTTTTTTTTCCTTTGTATTTTTCATGTATGTACTGCTTGAGAAAGTCATAATACAGTGGAATATTCAGGAACTCTCAAGAAGGATGAGGCAATTCCACTGGAAAAGGGATGGTATTGTCCCCATTGAAGTAACTCTGGTGAAACAGTCGTGTGGTTTAAATAGAGGCTGCTTTGTTGCTGGGCTGGGTATGAGGGAAGGTGAAGTAAATAGTTGCCAATATCAGGAAAAACGTTAAGGGCAGCAAAATATAAAATCTATGAACAAGAAACATTTATTATTTGCCAGTAGTAATTGGCTACTCTTAAAACTGGTGAGAGTGAAGAGGTAGTTGTCATTGGCTGCAAGACAGCTTCACCTGAACTAATGGGTTACCATTCCCAAGTGGGGATGATCTTCCTGCCACACCTCCAGCAAGGAAAGTAACCTGATGACAGAAGTAGAAACAAACAAATAGTTTCTCACTGGGTTAGAGAGTTGAATCAACTCAATGAAGGTTCAGCAAAAGGCAATGCAAGGAGAAAAGCAGGACCACATGACCAGGACGGACAACATTTGGAGAACAGAGGTAGTTCAAGGTGGAGTGGAAAACAGAACCTCTTTCTTTTTTTCAGCCAGCCATGGTTAGATTTAGCTATTACAGTAGGAGTTTTAAGAGCGAATCTCTGTGTCAGGAACCAGAAAGTTAGCATGGTACCTTATTTTTAGTTTGGAAAACAGACTAAGGCCAGTGTAGCCTACAAGGTTATGCAGGTGTTCTGATGTTGCCTTCCTGGAAAAGGGACTTTGAATCACCATCTTTTCTAAACTGGCTTCTTGTGGAGAACTTCTTGTTGTGTGCTTCAAGATCTTCAGGATGGCTTGGATTTTTTTGCAGCGTTCTTGCAAACTGCCTTAATTTTTACTGGAGCACAGACTTTCCAGTGAAAAGGCATACTAGGAGAGCTGAGCACAAAGGTCTCTCTTTAAAAGCACTTTTCCCCCATATGTGATGCCATGATTTTTTTTGTTTGTTTTTGTTTCTTTCTTTAGAGCGAAATGACTGAACTGCATCAAAGCAGAGGAGGATCTACAATGGATGATGAAGAAAACCTAGCTGTGTTACGACAGTAAGTATATTTTGATAAGCAAAAAGGTGTGCTTTTTTTCTGATTTGGTTCCAGCAAAGCCTGATTTTGGCTAAGGATTCGATAAGACACTTCTCTGGAAGCATCTTTGATAAGATGCTTCTCTGAAATAAGCCTCAGTGCTTTTTGAAATGTATTGGCTCTGCTCTGTACACAAAGGCAGATATTTCAGTCTGTCTGCAGCATTATTTATAGTTTGTGTAGTACCAGACTCTACCTTTGCTGCAGAGAGGTGATGCTATGGCAGTGTAACAACATATTTGCATTTTGAGAGATCATGTAATTTTGAGTAATAAGCCTCCTGTAAATCTATTGGAGGTTTTGGTCTCCATGCCTCAAGACTGTCTTTTTACTGGATTCTTTTTAGTCCCCGTTTTGATAAATGTTACCAAAAATCATTCATATAAAAACTGAATAGCGTCACTTTTATTAAAGAAATAACTTGGTAGCACCTGCAATGCATATAGCAGACCTTGCATTTTCACCTGTAAATTGGCTACTCATGATCTTACTACTGTTACAACCTTGTGTTACAACATACAGAATCACAAAGGAAGGGGGCTGGGGGAATGCATGCTTGCTTGGCTGTTAGGGAAATTAAAGCAGCATTGAGATATTTAAAGTGTGCCCTAAATGCCTCTAATTTAAAATCACCAGTGTAGTTTTGTATTTGATAATGCTATGCAGCTACTCCACCTCCTGTAATACAAACACAGCATAACCAGAGTTTTTATGTACAGTGATAAAAGGCTTCACAGCTTCAATTCGGTTACTACAGCACTTAAACCGTTAAGATTTGACTTCTTCTCTGTTCGAACACATTTTCAAAAAATATAAAATGTTTTAAAAATACGTATCTCTTAATAAAGATATATCAACTGCTGATAGAAATATCCATGAGACATCACATTTTCCATTACCTGGAAATTTTACTGTCTGAAGTAAAGTAGAAACACAGACAAAGTTAGTGTTGCCTCATTACATTGCATGAGTGAATAGGCCCACCTTAATTGTCAGTCTTTGTCCACAGGCATGTAATTAATGAACTTATTGAGACTGAACGAGCATATGTGGAAGAACTCCTCTGTGTTCTTGAGGTAAAGATTAAATTTCACTGCGGCTGTTAGTGAATTTACTTGTCTTTCCCATTTCATGGATGCTCTTATGTTTTCCTTACTACTGTAAAGCATCTGTTTGTCCTGTCAAGCAGTATGATCATTGTATCTCTTCTTTCTCTTCATATTTTCAGAGAGGCAGAAATGTGCCATTTTTTTCTAGAAATATTCATACAACTAGATTTTTGATATCAGAAAACACAAATTGAGCAGAAAATAAGATATGACTTAGTATTTAGGTGGGACATAGTGAGATTTGTAATGGTCATTAATTCCTGCAAAAATTCTTTCCAGAATCTTGGGCCAGCTGCAGGAAGGCCACGTGTCACACAAGAATGTGAATCTGCAACGAGAGAATCTTGTGTCAGAGGAGAAAATTTGTTTCTTGCACCCCTCTTTGCATGTCTTTGTCATCTTCCACGTCTTGGGTACAGCTGTGGGAACAGAATGCCTTGTAGTAATACCCTCATTTGAAATCATCAGGGAAGCAAAGGTGCTCCTTTTGCTGCACACTTGAGGAGGCACAACTGCAGTACTGCTGAGGTGCTTGCACAATTACACTGCACTGTTCTGTTGTTCCTCAAGTTTAAGTCTTCAGATATGGGTGTGTCATATTTTCTTGTAGTCCAATTTGACTGTAGGGGATGATAATGTTGTAGATAACTAGGGCTGAATTATTTTAATCAGGATGAATTGGAATTGAGCCAAGTGAGTACTCTTGGTGTCCATACCAATATTAAGCTCCTAGATAGGAGCTGTCTTAAGTCATTGGCCAGGATTGATAATTTCTGAGTACATACCTTCAAGTAAGGGTACTGTATGAGGGTTTTGGACTCTTGTCCTGGTTTTGCTAGTTTGTGCTCAGCTTCCTACAGCATTTATGTCCTGTGCCCAGTCCATGTGCTGGAAGTGTTGATTACACTAGGATGGTTGCATTTGACACGTGGTAATAAAGCAAGATGGGTCTGGAGTGGACCTGAATAATAGTTTTATTCTCTGCTTTGTACGCAATGCCATGTGTACAATTCTAGTCCATAAAATCAAAAACTTGAATAACTGGAGGATTCTTGGTCCTTACTGCTACTGCTGGAGGTTTTCTGCAGGTTCTTTCTATTCCCATAGTATTACTCTTGTTTTCCATTGAATATAGGGCAACCTGGTCTTGCTAGGCCAAGGTGTCTTGATTTTCTGCCAGAGTGACAGACTTTTCAGTTCTCTGACCATGCCAGGCACACTTCTCTGTGACTCCTTGCCATTCGGGATTCCTCTCTCTTGAACTTGGGGTTAGTGGGGCTGCCAGCAGTAATTCTGGATCAGTACATGCTGAGGTATGGTTCAGTGACAGTCTTCTAGTTTCATTATTAATTCCTAATTCTGTCTGTTCTCCTAGTTTCTTTGTTTCTTCTATTATAATAATCTTTCAATTTTTCATGTAAAATAACCTGATACTCCTTTGTAGGGACAGTGTCTCCTCTTACTATGTCATGTTTATTTGCCATGCATCTTCTGTCTGCCAAGGATTCTGATAGGAAAAAAAGCAAGGTAGTTCCCAAGATTGATTACTGGGGAACTGCTATCACTAGTTTTATGCAAGTTTGATAGTTTTTATTTTATTAATAACCATGATCATCCCCCTTTAGTCTGTGAAATTCAGTAATTTTCACTGGGAAAAAATACTGGACTAGTCTGGTGTTAGGTATTGAATTCTGCTCCTTTTTCCATTTACTTTGATGCTTTAGAACAGCTTTCAAATACATTTCCTTACCTCTGTCTTGTCATATCTTTGGATGAGCATTAAGGATTTCAGAATCTTTTAATAAGAAAGACTAAGCAAAGCATTATATATTCTTTAAGTAAGATTAAATAATCTCTGTGGCTGCATAAGGTAGCTTGCTCTCTCTTTTCTTAAAACACAACTACTGCATAGGTAATAAAACATGAAGGTTTTATACTGAATTTTAAAAATAAGTACTACATCAGCCTAAGGTGGAAAAAAATTGACAAAAGCTTTTTGTCAATGTATGGGTTTCATGCTTTTATTTTTCCAAAATTTTGAAGTAATCTGCTCTGTCAGACTTCTTTTCACCTCAACTAAATTAGGTATCCCTTCTTTATGCCAACATTGACTACGCTGCTGTGTTCAGCATCATCTTTACTTCAGTTGGAAGTGAATCATTCTCTTCATGCATCTTTTCATCTGAACTGCTTAGTGGCTGCAGTTGTTCTTTCCTTATTAAAAATATTTAGCTTCATTTTATATGGATTATTTTTATAATTTTTAAGCCTGTACCATTTCTATTAATTTCATTAATCTTTCAGACTCTGCATTTTCCTGTTTGGGGTCGAGATATGGGGACGGACTGATAGTTAACTATCTGTGAGCTCCAGCACTTCACCTAGACCACTGTTTGTTTTGTTTGTTTGGTTTTTAATGCGGTGATTGAGGAAAAAATACCAAGGTTTTTAAAGGGATGATTCTGGCTTTTTTTAAAAATTAGTCACTGTCCTATCCACATGCTTCAGGTTAGCTGACTTTACTAGCTAGTTCTACTTTTTGAACTTTGGACCACACTTTGAAATTGAAATTCCTAATTGTAGGTGCACTTTTGCTTATCACCTTCTTTTAATTTGTCAGTTTGTTATAATTTGGTGTAGTTTATTATACTCAGTGTGACTAATGCAATGATCATCTTGTGTTTAAAAAATTTGGAAAAAAAAGCACAAACCACAAGAGTACATTTTGTAATGTACTTACATTAAGAAATCTGCTTTTAATGCAGGTTCTAGAACATTCTTGCAGCTTTTCTGGTTGATTGGTTGGGGATGTTTTGGTTGGTTGGGGGTGGGTGGGATAGTGTTTAGCGTTTTTTTAGTGTATTGAGGGAACACCGATTAGTGACCTTGGGACTGGAGGAGAACACAGTCCTGGGCTAAAACCATCTTTATGCTCTCTTGTCCTTATCTGTGCCAGATCAACAGATGTGTGATTATATGACAAAGGGAAGATGGCAGAATCTAAAGTTACGAGTTTTGGTACCAAAGCTACTGGAATTGCCTTAAAGATAGAATTTGTAGCTCAGTGGTTTCAATTACCTGCAGAAATAACTGCAGTCAGCTTGTTCCTTTATAGGAATGGCTGAGAGAGGCATGAAGGTTTGTGTGTGTACTGGAATTGTGGCTTTAAACTCAGATATGTAAAGCCTTAACAGGAAGAGTATGAACTCTAAGCAGTCTGGGAATGCAGAGCCTTTCCTTGGTGAAAATGATGGCAAAATTTTTCATCCTTGCTTAACTAGGATCGCAGGAATTATTAAAGTGTCCTTCTATAAAAACTGCGTGTGTATCTGACTGGGCTGATGGAAAAACAGGATTTGTATGCTTCTTTCATGATTAATACTGAGCTCTTTCTTCGCTGTCAGGCTGAAGGCAGACTGCCATGTCAGAAAGGAAAGTACTGCAAGTAAAGGGAGAAAGTCATCGTGCCTCTCTCCTCTCTCCTGTGTTGTTGCAGGGTTATGCTGCAGAGATGGACAACCCCTTAATGGCTCATCTCATCTCACCAGAACTGCAAAATAAGAAGGATATCTTGTTTGGGAATATGGAAGAAATTTATCACTTTCACAATAGGTGAGGATTTGCATTCAGATCTAAAAATAGCTTTTGCATGGGATTCTTTACTTTTTAATTTTTTTTTTACATTGCTGAAAGAGCCTTACTGAGTTCTACTTGTCTATCTGGTATGTCAACATTTGTATTGCATAGAAGAGGCAAAAGCCAAATATCTGTAAAAGATGAGTGAAGCTGTGTGAAACTTCATATTTGCAGTACACAGGTTAAATTTTGCGTTGTGGCCCTCTTCCTGAAGCAAGTTATTTGGATCTGGTTACAAGCTAATTAAAGTAAGGTTTCTTTAGGTTTCTTTTAATTTTTTGTGATATTTGCTGTGGAAAATAAATTACTATTCTAAACCACAGATTCTCAACTCTTAAGGGGTTATCCCAACTCCTTACATCTGGTTGAGGCTGATTAATTTTATATATGTATAGATGTATAAAATTAATATATATTTATACATATTGAAATATATATGGAAGTGACCTTTCTGAAGTTTAAATCCTTGCTGCTAGAGACATATTTCTTCACAGGATAATACTTAAGTTGATAGTAAAGATAAAATGATTTTCAACGAAGTTAAGCATATTAAATAGTTGTATCTTATTCAGGCAAAAGTAGAATGGAAGGTTTGGCCACTGATTTTTTTTTGGGGGGGGGAGTGGGGTTGGTTCTTTTTTCTTAATTTGGCAACGTGGGGTTTGATTGGTTTGTGGTATTTAAAGTGTTTGGGTTTTCATTCCAAGCTGTATAAATCCTGCTGCTGAATCCATAAGGCAGGGAAACAAAATCCCCTTTCCCTCACCAATCTACTAGTTTATTTCAGTTGTAGCAATAGTAAGCTAAAAGAAATTGGTCAGTATGTTTGGTTTCATTTGCTATCCCTTTTGAAATACATGATCTAGAAGAATTTTTGCTTAGTTTCATAGTACAGAATTACAACTCTTTCCAAAAGTTTAAAAAACGGATTGCAAGAGTGTGAACATTTATGATAACTTTTTTTTTTAATGTGTGCTCTAAGAGAATCTTCTTCCTCATAGAATATTCTTGAGAGAATTAGAAAACTATGTAGAATACCCAGAACTAGTAGGACGGTGCTTCCTGGATCAGGTACGTGTGTCATTTTTTGCTGGCACTTTGTTCGTAAGCCTCTCTAGGACTGTAACGTGTGTGATTTTCACGTAGTGATTACCACCACATCCCTTTTGTTTGTCCTGAGCATGTGATAGGTGGAGAATGTAGATGGTAATTGAGAGCTGGGGATACCTTCCCCTGTGCAGAGTAACTAATTTTGTTTGACAAAGCTACTATCTCATTAAAAGAACACTGCTTTTTTAAAGTGGCAGTTAGGAAAGCATGAAGAGGAGTTATGCACTGCATTGTTTCACATCATTATAAATGGTTTGTTTACTTGGTTAGATTTCTTTGTTCTAGTGTTGTTATTGTTCTTTCCTGTTTTCTCTAAAGAGTATATCTCAACAGAGTAAGTCCAGAATATAGAAAGCTATGACAAAATATAGAAAAATAAAAAAATATGAAAAAAATAAACCGTTTTAATCTGGGATTTATTAAACAATGAGTCTCACCGAAAATATACTACAGGCTAAACATGAATGTGTTTATGGAAATCAATCTCCTGGTTTTGCTATCTATTGATGCTCTAAAGCTCCTGGGAGGAGCAATCCCTCCCCCTTCTATTTACTGGCATCCATGGAGATGCAGTTTCCTAAAACAGAGGGACAGAGGTACTTCTGTATCAGCTGATTTCCTACCTGGTCTTTCATTTATAGCTAAGGTTACTATGGCATTTTCAACAGTATTTATTTCCTTTTCCTTTCAACAAGTGCCGAAATCATGCTATTTAGTTGCCAAAGTGATAAGGGGAAATAAACTGCTTGATCTACCTTAGTGTAACTCCCAGTGAAAAACACATTCCTGAAATGAAAATAAAGAAAAAGGACAAAGTCTTTTAAAAAAGTTGCAGAGAGGGACTCATGGTTGGGCATTCATAAAAATATTTTTCATACTGTAGTAGAAATATATTTGTAAAAACAATATACACTTCTTTGTAAGATGCTTAACATTCAACTGAAGCAAAACATAATTGGGAACATTTTATTCTGTTGTTCCAAGTACCAAATTAGGAACCATTACAAAATTGTGATTTTGCAATTCCTTGAGGCATCTCAAGCAAAAAACAATGATTCAATTTTTGGTGGTGGTGGGGGGGGTTTCATAATATAAGTGATTATGAAAAAAATTCTTATGAACTTTGTCTATTAAAGTCACAAGAATTTATTAACTTTTTGCTTGTCTTCCCAATTCCAGATGGAAGATTTCCAGATTTATGAGAAATACTGTCAAAATAAACCTCGATCTGAAAGTTTGTGGAGGCAGTTTTCAGATTCTGTATTCTTTCAGGTATGCTTGCTTGAATCCCTAAAATAATGATGGGTTTGATATTGTTGGGGTCTGGGGTTTTTGTTTGATGTATTTTTACTTAATCATCTCAAGAACAAATAACACAAATATTGAAATCCAACACTGATTACAGGAATGTCAAAGGAAACTGGATCACAAACTCAGTTTGGACTCATACTTACTGAAACCTGTTCAAAGAATAACCAAATACCAACTCTTGCTAAAGGTATGTGTTACTGAACTATGTGCATTTGTATTTTTAAATACATGTATTTTTAAATTTTGTATTTTTAAATGCTGCTTCTCTCAGCCTACTGGAGAGAAACCTAAAAGTTAGTAGATACGGATATATGGATATATAAGTGGAAACAGATAAATCCCAGTCCATCAGCTTTCAACACAGATCTTTTTTCTTTTAGTCAAAAAACTGGTAGTAAGCAAATGTTACACAGAGACACCTTGTGTAACTACTTTTGCTCATAGATTTCTGCTGAAGAGAAGATCGAACAGTTGATGAGGGGAAACAGAAGGACCAAGAAACCTTTGCAACAAAGAAAAGAGTATCTGAAGTACTTACTACTATTCAGTCATAGCACCCCACCATTTGGGAGGAACTTGCCTTGCTGGGTTCTGGAAAACGCACTTGACAGACAGCCTTGTGTGGTGTTTTTATGAAGGAAGCTGCTGTCATTCACATTAACATGCTGTACTGAGAGAGCAAAATGAGAGCAATGTAATATCATAAATTTATTCAAATTAATGTATAATGTTTTGCCATGTTTGAAGTAAGAACTATTTCTCACACAGACACATATTTCAGTGGTTATGTTTGACAGTAGCTTAAAAAATTTGCCTCAGGCCACATTTATTCCTGAGTTAAAACTGAGCTGTTAACAGCTTTTAAAGAATCAATTACATTTAAGCTTGTGTAAAGAGAGAATTTCCCACATTGAATGTTAAAAATTGAACATTCCTAGTTGCTGCTGTTTCCAAAGCTAAGTATGTTGGCATTCCCTTCCACTCAGGAAATGCTGAAGTACAGTAAGAACTGTGAAGGTGCTGAAGATCTTCAGGAAGCACTGACTTCTATCCTGGGCATTCTAAAGGCAGTTAATGATTCAATGCACCAGATAGCCATTACAGGCTACGATGTGAGTAGCAGCATTTTTACTTGCTTTTTAATTTCTTTTCATTTCTTTCTTAGATGTTTGTAAAGCATACCCTATAGTGTGTACTAATAATGAGATGAATGTTTTACAAAAGGTGCCTTTAAACTGTATTACGTAATGAAAATAATGGAAAATGGATCTCTCTATACTCTTCTGAAGTTTTCTTGCTATGAATAATATTTTGCTATATCTACCCAAATTTTTTTCTTTGATTTACTTGACACTGAGTTAGAAACTGAAAACTGTCATAAAGAGTCTGGTTTAGGCTACTGCCAGATGGGATTCGCTACTAAGGTTTTTATATCTATGTGTGAAAATACACCCAAAACTTCCAATTACAAAAAAATAACAAAAGCCAAGAGACTGTGTAAGTAGCTTTGGAGCAGAGTTTGGGGAAAAAAAACCCCAAACAACCCAATATGTCTATTGTGCTTCTCCCTCTCTCTATGTGCAGTTCTCTGTATCTCTGCTATTGGTGCTCTTGATCATAAAATCCTGCCTGAACAGTGTTGACCAGTGAAAATTACGTGTAAAAATCCAACACTGACTTTATTTTTATTACATTTCCAAGTCCAACATAAACACTGTTGTGAGAGATTACTTGGAATGACAGAATTGCGAAGACCTGTTCAGAATGTGTGTTCTGGTTCGATGTTATCTCTTTGTAGTTATAAATGTCACTTCTTTTGTTCCAGGGAAACCTGAATGAACTGGGCAAACTTTTAATGCAGGGGTCCTTCAATGTCTGGACTGATCATAAAAAGGGTCATGCGAAGGTGAAAGATTTGGCACGTTTCAAGCCAATGCAGCGACACCTCTTCCTCCACGAGAAAGCAGTGCTGTTCTGTAAAAAGCGAGAAGAAAATGGAGAGGGATATGAGAAAGCACCTTCTTACAGCTACAAACACTCCTTAAATGTAAGAACGCCAAACAGTCCAGCAAGGTCGAGGTACTGAGGGCTTAGCCTGCAGCAGTACAACATTCTAGTCTTTCTCTGCAAAGCTGTGTTGCAGCATTGCACTGAGAACTTCACTCTTTCAGGCAAACCTGACTGGTGCTGCAGGTCTGTGTTATTTTGTGTTGCTGTCTGTTAGATGGCAGGGGGAATATGATCCTTTGAGAAAACCCAAAGGGTAATAGGGCAACTGAACGGCAGTTGCATTAATCACACAGTAAATGTAGAGCAGGGTAGTATAAAATAGATGTAAGAAGTCCATGGTCTGGGTTTTAAGAGATATCTTATGAGTCAGTCTCAATGTAATGTATCTAAACCTTTCTTTCCTCCAAGATAACCAGCGCTAAAGCACTAAATCTCTCATGTCTAACATGCAGATGATATGTTATTCTTTGAGCAAGAAGTCAAATCTGGTTTTCCTTTTCAGAAATAGGGTGCCAAAGAATGCTAGTATCCTCCTGCTTCTGTTCTTACCATAATTACAATGTGGTAAGTGAGCTTCTGTTCTCTTTGCTTCCAGATGGCTGCAGTTGGAATAACAGAAAATGTCAAAGGTGATGCAAAAAAATTTGAAATCTGGTATAATGCAAGGGAAGAAGTTTACATTATACAGGTAAATAATATGTGCCACTGCGAGAAAAAAAAAAAAAAATAGTGTGATGAGGAAATGTAGGAAAAAAAACCCCAAAGCACCACCAGATTAATTCATAGGGTAGTTTTGTAATTTATTTCAGTTGAAGAGTCTCCTGGGGGAAAAACTAATCACATTCTACAATATCCATGGAGGATACTGAATACACCATCACTGTAGCTGCCACTGGCTTGGGCCAACTGTTGCCCAACTCTGCCAACTGCCAAGCCAAGTGGATGGCTGGGGAGATGGGGTTTGATTGTCACACATGCATAGCCTCTGCCTCAGCATGTTCCCGATGCTACAACTAGTTTCTATTCACAGAAGGACTAGAGAGGGAGTTTTGTCTGCACCTCTGGAAAAATTCCTCTGAGGCTATGCTTTGGCATCCAGCTATTTGCGTAGTAAGTATTCTGTGCTTGATGGCTGACTGTATTTATTTTTGGGTAGGCACCAACTCCTGAAGTTAAAGCTACTTGGGTCAATGAAATAAGAAAAGTGCTGACGAGTCAACTGCAGGCATGCAGAGGTAAAATATTTTGGAGATACAAATATATTTAATCTATTTTCTTTTTGAACTTCAAATCCTGCCCAGTATATCTTCCCTGTGTAGGACACAAAACTATTTTAATAGTTCTTTTTCTTTCCTCCATTACAGAAGCTAGTCAGCACAGGACACTAGAGCACACACAGAGCTTACCTCTACCAGCATCATCTTGTGCAAGGTAAGTATATATGCTGTCAAATCAGCCTGGCTGTCTTGTAAATACGCTAATACATCTGGTTTGCATTACTTCATTACTCCTATCCCTTAATACTGTTCCTTGTGTTTTAAGGCTTTTTAGTTCTCTTAGTACTATAAAGCTATAGAGCTTTGATTTTATACATATCCAGAACTGCTAAACTGCGCAGCAATGGCTTGGGCTTTGCCAGTTGATTGAGAACAATCCAGAAAAGTCATTTTCTGTGCCAGCCAAAATCCTGGTGATATTATGGGTCTGCTTGTTGAACAGCTAATTATTATACGTTACAGTCCAGATAAGAGTTTTATGGAGCAGCCTTTTCCTCCTTCATTGTTCTTTTCTTTTCTTTCATGTGGATTATTTTTTTCTTCTTTTTCCAATGTCCAGATGTAACCTTCCTTTTTGTCTTTTTCTGGGCATCATCTTTTCTCTGTCCCTTGTTCCTTTCTTCCAGTTTTTTGTTGTTTGTTTTTTTTTTTTTTTTTTTTACCTAAGTGATATGTAAGTTCTTCCAGTGTCCCAACTTCTGAGTCAAGTTTTTATTCTTTTCCATCCTTCACCAAACCAACCTGTATATTCTTTTGTCCCTTACCTGCTGCTCTGTCCTTGTCTGACACCCCTTTGCTGCCACTCACTCTGTTTTTTCATATGTGTATATCTGCCAACCCACCCATGAGCCTGTGTGCTCCTGTCTTCAGTTTCCACATAGTGTGTGCTGAAATATATATTGGTAGCTCTCTACACTGCATCTTTTACGCATCTACTTATTGCTCAGGAAGAATTTCCCAAATACATCGTATTTGCGGAGTGTCTTTCTCTATTCCATTCCCAAATGGAGGTGTGATGGGAGTCCAGCTGCAAGATCCAACCCGAGGACTTTGTCCATCCCTCATCTGTTCCTGTGTTAAGAGCTTCTGAGAGGCAGCTCCTTTATCTTTCTCCTTTTTTTTCCTAATATGTTTGGGAGGAACCTGTAGGCTGCAAATGAGTGGAAGCTGTCCTGAGCCATCTTCTCAGTAGCTCCCACTGCCATAGTACATGCAATTTCAGCCAGTTAGGAGAGGTGTTTCTCATTTGTACGTGCTCATGGTCTTTAAATGCACAATCACCAATTACCTTCTCAGTCCTGGAAGCTATGATTTGGGAAGTAGAAAATAAATGGTTTTCAGCCTATATATCAATATGTAAAAGACAAGTTGTGACTGAAGGTCCTCACACCTGTTCAGACCCACATTTGCTAGAAACGGATTGATGGTCTAAATTTTCTTCCAATAAACAGTCCTTCACGAAACCACACCAGAAATACCAAAAAAATGGAGGAGAAAAAAGCTGATCTCACAAGTCTGGAAGGTTATGCCACTACAGTAGCACCAAAGTACCCTGAGAAAGGCAAAGGTGAGTTTACACGTACGTGTCGTTGCCTTTAATTGCAACAAGCATGCCTTGCACTGCAGGCGCACAGGCAGATCCACCAGCAGAGTAGCCACGGTAGTGCAGGGAAGGCAGCATGACTCCTGAATAAGCAGGGCTTTGCTGCTTTCAACCCCAAGGCAGCCCACCAAAAAAGTGCTGCCCACACTGCACCAGAATGTTGGTCCCATCTGCTCTTAGCTTGGGCTTGATTTCTGCGCTCCAGTGCGTGGTGTGGACAGGCCCAAAGCCATCTTGAATGAATGGTAGCCAAAAGCAGATGGGAACTACTTGTTATGAGGCCAAAGTCTGCAACAGGTTTTCCCTTAGAGCTGCCCAGCTTCTCAGGGTTCTCTTCCTCTGGATAAACGTATTGGTATTACTTGTTCTAAAGAGGTTTGTTTTGTTTTGTTTTTTCTCTTTAATTTTGTTCCAATCATGGAAATTATTTACTGAACCAGTGGCAGTACAAGGTCCTGCACCACAAGAACAACTGACCGCACATGTTGTACCTGGACTTTAATTTGTCCTTTCTCTTCCTAACATGCAAGTTCCCTGGCAGGGCTGCAAAAGACTTTTTGCCTTGATCTTTTCATGGCCTTCTATCTTTTCTTTCTGTGTCTCTTTCTTCCTTTATAGACAACAGTAGCTCTACCTCAGAATGCTCTGTACTGTCAAAAAAGCGCTTTACGCTGCAGGGCTTTACTAACCTGAAAATTCAGAAAGGTAACTTTTAATAGAGCTAGACTGTCTTCTGTGTAAGACTGTAATTGAAGTATCACCTTGTATGTGCTGTGTAGTGCGATAGGTTTTCAGTGTACACACTAGCTTGTTCTTCTGAGGTCAAGCTAGGTTCCTAAGTCAGTGCCTCTGACAGGGAGATGATTTCAAGAGAAAGCAGCTGCAGAGTGGGAGGGGGAGATGCAACTGGGAGAAGTGGGGCTGTTGGAGATGCAAGGGAAGGAGTGCAATTTCCAGTGTCTCCAATCTCACTGTCAAGGCCAAAGAAGGAGTGCCCCATTCCTGTAGAAAAACTAGAGGAAGGAAGCTGTCATCTGATCAGACACCTGGCCTGCTTCTAGCTTCAGTGGATCTGCCCCAAATGCACTTGTACTTGGCAAAAAGGAATCAAGGTTTTATAGAGTATTTCTGTATTGGCATCCTTTGTAACAAAACTCCCAAAGCGTAACTGCAGCAGAATGTGGCTGACAATGTTGTTTTCCTGGATAGAAAAATAAATATGAATTTATCTATTCTTCCAGATATGGTCTTCACTTCTTTTTTCTAAAACAGGCAATAGGAGTCTGAGACCTTTCTTGCTTCCTCCTGCCAAGTAATCGCACTGGTACAGTTACTTCTTGCTTTGAACAGCTGTCTTTGAACAGTCTGAATTGCATTAAGATGATGGCACTTGTTCAAGAGCATGATATTTTTTTCCCCAAAAACATCTTTCCAGAATGCCTATCTAAAACCTGATTACCTTTGAGTTCTTTCTGGAGAGACTCTAGGGTTGTATATCTAATGCTAATGAGGTGAGCACTAATATCCCATGCTTGCCTTGACAGAAACTCCATCTCCTTCTGCTAAAAGCCAGACATTGCCAATGATCCTTCTTACAGGACCAGGTATTGCTGTAGCACTAGATTTCTATAACAATGATTGCTTAATTTGGTAATGTTTGTCTAAAATTGAAGTTAATTGTATTCAATTGATGTCTAGTTCATTTAGAAAAATTTACAGATATTTTCAGCTATTACTGTAAAATAAATTTGTCAATTTATCTTCAAATAACTACTTGTAAATAATTAATTCATTCTTCTGCAATGGAACAATGACAGCTGAAATTAGATTACAGAAGTCCGCTTGTTTTCCAGTGTAAACTCAAAGGTATTTAGCATGCAATCCACTTATTCTCTTTTTTCCAGTTCTTCAATATCTCTCTTCTGTTTTTTTTGCCTATTCATCCTCCTGCAGCTTCTCCTACCAGTCCTGACAAAAAAGCTAAACGGCATGAAGTAGTGAGTGACCCAACTCCTTTTGGTTTAAGAGGTACAGTGATACCACATCTTGTACTCCTCAAATATCCACACATCCCTCATGTAATATGTTACATCAGAGTGCTGGGGATACCTGTATGGTGCTGTTGTGTGCAGCAGTAATGATATCAGTTGTTCTTCCAAGTGGATCTTTCAGGTTCTGTATACACTGTTTTTGATAGCAAAAACAGTTGAAGTTTTAACTTGGTATCAAATAAAGTAGCATATGGCTAACTAGTTTTTAGGAGAAGACGGTGGGAAAGAGATCTGCTGCTGAAGAAATAACCAGAAGCTGGGTGTTTAATGGACTTACAAGGGTGTCCAGTTGCTATGAGACACATGGTTTTCCATGTGTTAGCATCCTTCTCTCACTGTGCCCCTTGTGGAAAGGATTTAACTTCTAAAAAAAGAAAAAAAAAATCTGAAACTCATGTACCTGGATCACTGTCATGTGGAATTTCCATTTTAGATCTGCATTTATTGCTGTAGTCACTGCTCTATTGCATCTTTCTTTGGGTGATAGTGGGCTATTCTCACCACCCTGTGAACCCCAGATGACTAAACCTGAACCCTTTGCAGCAGTTTGCCTCCTGTCCTCCCAGCTCAGAGCTAAGCAGAGAACAGAAAAGCATTTCAATTAAACGACCATTTGTAACCAGTAAGGCTGTTGGTGAAGATTTCAGTACAAATCCCTAGGGCTAATTCGCTAGACAGGACAAGGAGAGCAGTCTTCCTCTTCCTGTCTCTTTCCACCACCATCTCTTTTAGAAAATACTCATCTAAAGGTGAAGTTGTTTCAACCTCTACCATCAACCTCCTCTCCAGGTTTCCAAAGTCTTTGTCTTTCCTGTGGAAATGCAGGTTCAGCTGCTGTGCAACTATGCAACACCAGCCACCTTATCTGAGCAGCAAGCAATGCAGTCCTAGGCTGGGCACGTGCAGAAACACCAGAGGGGTGGATATAAGAGTTGCAGCATTGATTTTCTGCAGATAGTAGTCAAAACTGTCAGATCTCCAGGTACGATAGAAATCCTGAGGGCCCAGAAATGCTGTCTGGAGGAAAAGAGTGGTTTATGACCCTTTCCATAGATGCTGGAATTTTCCAAGGAAAAGTCCTTGTTCATTGCTAATTTACAGTAAGATTATTGGGTCCTTGGAATAGGGTTGTCTGATTCGCTGTTCTGTCCCAGTGCCTCACACTTTATGAAACTGCTAAACCAAGTAAATGAGTTTAAAACATCTACTAACTCCCCTTTGTCTTGCACCTTTCGATCTTTTTTCTGACACTTTATTTCTTCTCCTTCCCCAGTTCAAAGAGGGATAAGCAAGCAACTGACCCAGGCATTTTGAGGTGAAACTACACCAGATGATGGTCACAGCTTCCCAGTGCACAGTGCGTTGCCCCCGCTGATTTTCTTTCACTGCTGTAGTGCTCTGATTTACATGCAGTGAGCTCAGGGAAAATAATTTAGTGTCAGAATCACATGTTGTAGGCACCTTATAACTCTGTGAAGAAACTTGAGACTGTTTCTGACAAGAAGAGTTTAATGAGTTCTGGGTTTTCCTGGCACCAATCATATCTAAACTCATTTCTGCATAACCTTGCCTTTTCTTGAGACTGCCTGTCATTTTCTTACCTTTCCTGCCTTTATAGGGAGCTCTGATTTAGTCACACCGTGCAGAACACACACATACACATTGAATGTGCATGCATAATTTCAGTGCCCATAGTGACACTTCCCTTCCCGGGATGAGATGGCCTTTTATATAGACTTGTTAATAACAGAGTGCCAGCTTGTATGAGGAGGAGTATTGTTGCTATGGCAGATCAGGCCAGTCTGCTCTTGGTACATCAACACAATATAAGGAAAGAGAAGGCTGAGGAACAAGACCTGTTATACAAAATTTACAAGATCAGTGGGCCAGTGAGTATGAGGCTACAGGCAGAGAACTTTAGTGATATCTCTTTGTTTTTTGCAACTCATTGGTTCTGTTTCTAATGAGAGCTTGGAACAGTTATGAGAAACAAGGGGGTTTTTGTTGCTTTGTTCTTAACTTGGAAATAAAGGAAAGGGGTCTTATCTGTGTCCAACAAGCCAACTAGATGATGTAAGCTTCCAAGGAAATTTCCATGGAATACAGCAGGAGTTTATTACTCAGTTTCTTCACAGATGGAAGTTCATTCTTAACCGTGGACAGGGCCAAATGGGTCAGTACTTCTAGTCTTGTGCAGGTCATCCAGCAGCGCAGGCAAGGTAAAAATCCCACTCCGTTTGGTGTGCTTTGGGTGTGATTTGATTCTATGATTCTTAGATTTCTTTGGCTTTACTCTGATGTTCAGTTTTTAACTCATGCACTGGCATGACCAGCCTTGGAAGCAATGAAGAGCAAAAATGTTGATGCTTTCTCAGCTTAACTAATAGTTACATAAAAATGGGAGGTTTGTTCTTCCTTTCATTCTTTTCATTGAGTTACATTGTTGTTACTATTTGGCTTGAAAAAAAATCTTACAGATATTTGTCTCTTTAGTTATGACTTTTTTTCATAATGAGCTTGACACATTTATTAACAACTGCTGACATCAATATAAAACATCCCACTAAAACTTACTGTACTTTTATTTGGAAAAGGATTTTCTGCACTCTGGATATGATTCAACTTTATAAATAAATGAAATGCTTCACTCTGAGAGAGAATAAGCAATAAATGACAGGTGGGAGATTGTTCTTGTGGTGTTTGGTGCAGTGACTTAACACCAAGGTAACTCAGTGTGCTTAAGTATCCTTGTGTCAGCCTGAACACTCTTAAATAAAGAGCTGCCTCATCAGGTGAAGTACACAGTGCTTGTAGGTTGTGTTGAATTTCTTGACAGCTCTAAGTGCTTAAGGGTTTGAAGGAGACATTCCCCATTCATCCCTTGTTCCAGCAGGCTGTTTAGCTTGCTTTGGGTGACAACCTCTTCCCAAAAAGTGTACCTTTCTGTCTTCTATCTCCTCCCAAGAAAAAGAGAATCTATCCATCATTTATCTTTGTATAATATATATTTGTTATACAAATATTTATATATATTTAGTTTTTAGTGAGGAATTTGCAGTCTCTCCATTTGTTTCCCTTTATATAAATCCAAAGGGCCAAATTCACGGCTGTGCATTTCCACAACTCTACTTACTCTGACGGAACCAGGCCAGCTTTTGCCAGCAATGAATTTCACCCAGTGACTGTAATAACTTCCCTCTGCACAGTTTTTCTCCTGTTCATGTTGATTGCTTTAAGAGCTTTTCAGTGGGAAGAACGTTCCTCCCAGTCGGTGGCTCACTGCTCCTAAGTTAACAGCTGTTTATTCCGCAAGGTTGGGCCAAACCATCCCATTCTCTTGATGCATCTGAAGAAAATGACGGCTGGTCCAGTGCTGAAGAACCGCTGAATTCATCAGATGCGGAGGAAGAAGGAGGAGGAGGGGGAGGCGAGATGAAGCTGGTAACCAGAAATGCTTTCCTATTGAGCTAAGCAAGCAATACCAGTGCACTGTGTCTGGCAATGTACGGGAATGCTTTTGAAGCTTGCCGGAAGGAAAGGGTCTGCCTTGAAATGCTCAGCTGGGCAAAATTCCTAGGGCAATGGAGAAGATCCCTTTCTCCTAAATCAGCCCTGTGTTTGTAAATTGGGAAGGTCCATCTGTGCCTTTGCATACCTGCAGACCAGTGAGTTGTGTCTGCTTATGCGATGCTACAGCAGTCAAGTGATGACGTGATCAGCTACCGTGTCAATAGGCTCGACATGTACACCATGTCACGAGTTTGCCAGCTTGGTATTATTGGGGTTTTTTCTTTTGATTTTGTTTTCTGTAGACATATGAATTAATTGTTGTAAAAGAAGCATTACACTGAATGTTTTTCAGGGTGTGAGAATTCATGTACTGAATTTGCATGTAATCGGAGTTTTACTGCCTCAGTATGTATATTTACACCCTCTTCAGCATGTAGGTGCATGAGAAAGAAGGGAAAAGTAATATAATTTCATAACAAAAGCTGCAATATACCTTAAAGTACTCAATAGAAATAATTTGTTTGTTTTTCCTCTGTGTGCATTTAGACTCCTGGTAAATATACAGTTGTGACTGATTATGAGAAAGGAGTTTCTGAAGAATTTACAGTGAAAAGTGGAGATCTAGTTCAACTGATTCGTGAAGGGGAGGATGGACTTTGGTACGCAGATCTGTGTTTGGAAATTTTTATACGCAGAACTGTGTTTGGAAGGCAGATGTTTAGGGCAAAACTTCCTAAGGCATCAAATGATGTGACTGGAGTCCTAATTTTATTTTTATATATCTTTTAGGTATGTAAAGAACCTGAGCACTGGTAGAGAAGGTTGGATCCCAGCAAACAATGTGCTGATGCTCATAGGCAATTCAAAATCAGCTCAGTCTTTGAGCAGCTCTGGTAGGTATTTATTTTAAATGAGATTACTGTGTCTCTGGAGATTCCTATTATCAAAGAAGGTAATGAAAAACAACCACTATATAGTATTTTCGTGTGGTGATTTTTTTTCCCTTTCATTCCAGAATCAGGCACTGCCTCCAGCACTTTGAGCACATCATCAAGTTGCAGTGATAGCTGCAACGTCAGCAGTACCAGCTTTTCCGACATTAAGAGCTAATAGGAAGTTTTCATTCCACTTTCATGGAAGGTAAATTCGGAGACTGTCATTTGCTGCAGCATTATGGACATTGGACTCCATCGGAGAACCACCAATTCTGTGTTGCCAGCTCCGAGTATTTTTAGTGGTGACTTTTACAGGTTCTCACAGAAGATCCCAATGAAAAGTGCATGGAATGTGAAGTTGTAAATAAAAGTTAAATGATTTGAAATAGGGTTTTGTAGAGGCTTATGCTCTGAAGTCTGAAGCTGCCAAGCTGTTAGCATAAAACGCATTTTCTCCTTGATACACAATCAGGTTTCTGCAGAACCGAAATTTGATTTCGTAACAGCCAGAATCTGAATGTGGGCAAACAAAATGTGTTCAGTGCTAAATGCTCACTGTAAACTAATAACACAGCAACCACTCTACAGGATAAGTATGAGGAAAATCCAAGTTTACAGTTTCTTGTCCCCAAAAACCCTTTTCTGCAGGGACATACCTCGGTCAATGCGGTGAATGGGACTCTTACAGCAATGACGGAGGAGGTTTGGTTCACTCTTTTATCTTGGGTCTTCAGGGTATTCATCTGCTCCCTAGAGACTGGGATGCATATATGACCAATTCACTGACCACAACAACATCAAGAGAAACTATTATTTTATCCTTTCCAACCTTTTAATGATTTGTGCAATGGAATAGCGCTTTTCTGAGGTATTTTGGTCTCACAGCCAAATTCTTTACCAAGATCACTGTGTTTACATAGCCTTGGCAATTTAATAGTATCTTTTTCCTTACATTGATGCACAATGATACGCAAATGTTCTTATTCACTAAATGATTTTTTTAATAAATGGTAATTGCATGGTTATTTTCAGCTTTCACAATTAACGTGCAGTTACAGGCAGGGGAAACTACTGTGGCTGCACTGTGGGTCAAGAGCCTTCCTTCAGTTAAATCTATGAAGGCTAAAAATCCAGTGTATTTTCAGTCTACATAGTGTTTGTTCCAGATTCAGTGAAAGAGCAAAAAAACCCAGTGACATATTTTTTCTATAAAAGGGGAGCACAGGAGGAAAAAAGATCTTAGAGAATAGTCAGATTTGTGCTACAGATAAATATTTTAATTTTTCTTTAAAGGAAAGGTGATGCTAAACTTGCCATTTTTCAAGATATGATGTGTAAGCCTATATTGTAAGTTTTCATGTTGTCAGGCATTCTTTGCACATCATCACATAAAAACAGTACAAAACTGTGTGCATGTATAGAATACTGTATTCATTCCTGTCCAGCTCTCAAATATTTTTACTTATGTGAAAACAAGTTTTTAACTGATTTATGTATCATATTCTTTAAAAATAAAGTGGGCACTAAGAGCATAATTTTTCAGAAGCACTAAGGACAGCAGATTATGTCAATGAGAACTGCTGGTAATCATCAGACCCTCTGATGGCTGAGCCCTGAAGTCTATCTTTATGCCAAAATTTTATGTTTTAGAGGCTGCAGCTTAGGAAAGGTAAATGACAAACACTCCTAAGAATGATCTTACACCTGGGTTGTGAAAGCACCCCTACCCCAGACGCAATCAAAATGCAGCTGACCATGGTCAGTACAAATTGAGACATATATATATACACACACATGTATTTATGCACATGTATATGTGCATGTATGTGCTTGTGTGTGTATATATGTGTGTGTGTAGATATGTATATGTGTGTACATATAATGTATCAATGTAAAGATGTATTTATAGTCTTCATGCTGCTGAATGTGTCACTTTACAATTCATAAATACTTAGGTTTCTTGCAATACTGCAATATAAAGGCTGAACAGAGTTTTACTTCAGCCAAGTTTTTCAATGCAGAAATCCTCTGATCTTTTTTTTAATGATCCCATATAATACTGTGCTGACCAGGAATATTTAGTCTGATATTTAACAATGGAATGGCAACATGAGATTCAGCTTCATCTATGTAAATTATTTTGTAAATTATCTGTAACATAATTTGCTTATATATTGCTGTCATTGCTAGGATGAGACTGTCGTTTTATTTCTCACTGCAGCCTCATTTGTGTTGTTTCAATGGTTTTCTCCACATCATTGCACTTTAATACAACCCATTTCACCATTTCCTTTTTTACTGCTGTTGTGAATTAGAAGTTCAAAGACAGAGGTCTCTACTGTAATTAATTTGAATAAATTTCAGCACTTCTTGCTGAATGCCTTTATATAGATATTCTCTGGGGTTTATTTTGTCTCGCAGTCTTGAAAGCTTCTATGGGTATCATAAAAAAACTGAGAGGCTGGAGGATTTGGAACGAAAAACCAGGTCTGTCTAGCTGTTGCTTGTCAGAGTCTGTGTGTTCCAGTCCTTTGCCTGTTCATTCTGGGACCATTTCAGGGATACACCATTTCACCCTGGTGCTCTGGTCTCACCTGGTACTGGGGAATTAAAGCGTGTCTGCAGGTTGAGGATAAAAAATGACAGCCAGTACCAGGTAATTGGATTGACTCCCTTTTTCCCATACACCCTTTTTTGAAAGAAGGCACATGGCCCTTGGGTTTTCCTGAAGAAAGCTGTGTATCCCTTCTCCTGTAGGCATGCTCCTCTTGATCCTGTGGTCTTAGCAGAACTAGTTGGAGGTCCACATCTGTGCCACAGCTGGGTGAGAAACAAGACACCGTGTTCACTTTTGCAGCATCTGCAGAGGAACATGTTTGCACATCCACTGATTAATGACTTTGAGGACCATCATGCCATGGGAGGAGGTGAATTTCACACTGACTGGAGTGATTTGGGCTGAGTTGGTGGCCATGTGCATTACACAATCCAGTTAAGATGTTACTAGGATCTGATTGCTTTTTGTTTACTCTTGTTAACATAACAGCTCCCTCTGTAGTATGTAGTCCTACTTTTCTGAGTAAAAGGAGGTTCAGCCTTTTTGAGTGGAGCCATATCATACTTGTTAGAGAAAAGGAAGTAAAGAATTCCAGCCCAGATTTACCTTAGTGGAAAATAAAGAGTTTTCTATATGAAAACCTGATCATGGTTGGTTTCTTAGATCACTGGCTCAAAGTTTGGGCAGTCTTTCAGAGGCACAGAAGAAGCTTGCTAGTTGGAACACAAACCCTTTTCTCTGTACTGCACAGATGTTGTCACTGAGCAAACCTGACCATGTTGGACCATAACTCACATCACTTACCTCAAAATGACAGGGCAAATTACTATTATTATTGGATTACTATTAATTTAAGACTTCAATTTAATTTTCTGTGAATTTGTGAAGCAGCTCATTCCAAAAGCTTTCTTACCTTGACACAACCTTGTCAGCTTACTCAAATGTTCTCTTACAGCTTCTTTGAAATGGAATTTATTGGTTTTTTTTAATTGTTCCTGAGTGCTGACTAGAACACTCATGCTTAAATGACCAGTGACTTGTTGGATCAGATCAAGTTGTCCACTTCCAAATAGCTTCCATACATGTCTTCTCTTCGACCCAAAATATGAAACTAAAAGTAGAAAAATTGTGGTTTTCTTTTAAAAATGTGAATAGAAAACAAAGCAAAAATAAAGAAGGACATGTTCTAAGGCATCAGTTCATCATGACTTCGAGGCTAATGTTTCTGCTTTAGATTTTTTTAATTTCACATTTTAATATTTTTATGATTAATTTTTTTAACTACTTATTTTTTTAAATAAAGCAACTTTGGGACATCAAACATGTACACTAAAAATATCATAAATAATATTTTCTGAGCAGCTGTCCCTAGACTGATTCTAGTAGCACCCATGAGCAGCAGGGGTGCATGTTTGCATTAATATATGTTCACTTTTAATTGAATAGTGGGTTATTTTTCTTGTAATTGCTCAGAAAACATAAGCCAAGGCTAAAGCCTGCACTGGCAAGGAGATTTATGGAGCAGGACACCAGGGCAATTCTCATGAACTTCAGCAGGACCACACAGGAAGGAAAACAAAGTAACACTTAGGGGAAGAAAATACTTCTGGGAAAGAAAAGCAAACTGATGTTTGCTCCTCTGGATGGTGCCACGGTTTAGCCCCAGCCAGCAGCTAACCCCCTTGCAGCTGCTCACTCACTCCCTCCCACCCAGTGGGCTGGGGAGGAGAATTGGGAACAGAAAAGTAAGACTTGTGGGTTGAGATAGGAACACTTTAATAAGTGGAACAAAATAAAATATAGTAATACTAATGATGATTATATAATAACAACAACAACAATAATTATAGTAACAGAGAGAAAAGCCAAGAAAGGACAAGTAATGCACAATGCAATTACTCAGCACCTGCTGACTGATGTCCCTCCCCATCCCTGATCAACAATTGGCCCCTTCCAGGTAACTCCTTAGTTTATATGCTGGGCATGACATTCTGTGGTGTGGAATATCCCTTTGGCCAGCTCGAGTCACCTGTCCTGGCCATGCTCACTCAAAGCTTCTTGTGCAGGTCCTCACTGGCAGAGTGTGAGACACTGAAAAGTGCCTGACTTAGGGTAAGCACTACTTAGCAAGAGCCAAAACATCAGTTTGTTGTCAACATTATCCTCATAATGAATCCAAAAAACCCAGCATTGTACCAGCTACTAAGAAGAAAATGAACTCTGCCCCAGCCAAAACCAGAACAGTATTTAGCACTTGTTCTGTACCATGCATGTCATATCCAAGTCCCACACTATCAAATACCCCATCACCTTTCCCATCATTTGATAGTTATACACACAGATACCATTCTCTTAGTCTATAGACCATCCTTACAAAAGTCCACTGAGTTCATGTAGTTCATGACCTTGGTCCCCATCTGTCATAACAGTCTTTCAGGGCAGCAAAGATGGCATGTGGTATTTGGATTGTTGCATGGTGAAGTGAGTTCTGATTCCACCACCACTGCACAAACATCAGTTGTGTGATATGAAGAGGGGACCCTCCCTTTGAACATTCAACCCAGCATGAGTAACTGGGGTGCCAGGAGGAGCTGTGCTTCAGAACCGATCACTGCCTAAGCAGCTCTGACACCTTCATAAGCTGCCAGTATCTCTTTATCAGTTGGAGTATAGTGGGCTTTGGATCCTCTGGAGTCAACCTTGAGACTCCCCTGTGCTTTCTGCCAGAGGTTCCAGATAGGACTGTTCTCCCAGGCTTCAGTGTAAAGCACATTCTTTACGTCTTGCCCTGTTTGCACTGAACCAAGGGCTATTGCATGAACTGTCTCCTGCTGGATTTGTTCAAAGGCTTGTTGATGGTCAGGGTGAAAACATTTGAAATCATTCTTCTTCCTGGTCACTTGATAGAGAGGGATGACAATCAGAGTGCAATTTGGAATGTACATTCTCCAGAAACCTGCAAGACCTAGGAAAACTCTGTTTGTTTCTAGCTAGTTGGTGGAGACATTGCTGTTATTTTGTTGATCACATCCATTGGGATGTGGCAACACCTGTCTTACCATTGTATTCTGTGAAACTGAATTTCCTGTGCACGTCCCTTGACCTTTACTTTGCTTTATGGCAAAATTGCCTTTCAGAAGGATTTCACTATTTTCTTCCCTTTCTCAAAAACTTCTGCTGCTGTATCATCCCACATGATGATATTATTGATATATTGCAGGTGTTCCAGAGCATCAACCTTTTCCAGTGCAGTCTGGATCTGTCCATGGCAGATGGTAAGCCTGTGTTTACACCCACAGGTCAGTCAGTTTCAGCTGTACTGGACACCCCTCCAAGTGAAATCAAACTGGAGTGTGAGTAGCCCCAGTGCTTATTAACAGAATTTGAGCAGCTTCAGAGCCTGTTGCTGGAATTTGAATCCCTCTCTTCCTCCTTTGAGTAGTAGTGCTTGTCATGGAGTTTGGGGCCAGGCTGGTTTTAGGGGTATTCAAAGAATATTAAAACATTTAGAATTTTCAAATGCTACTTTAATCAGTCTGGAGGGCTTCTGAAGGTGGCAGGTAGGCAGAGAGGGAGGAGTCTCTCCATGGTGCTGGTTCTGCAAGGAGAAAAGGCTAAAGGTGTAATTTTTAGTAATTCCCAATAGATGGCTCCCGAAATACAGAGGTGATGGCAATGCTGAGAACACACCAGAACTAGTTTCACGACCAGGGATTCTATCAGACCAGAAGCCGACACTGTGAAGTACAACAAAATTACAGCCACAGCTCAGGCTCCACAGGCAGCAAAACAGCGAACAAATGCTGCAAACAAGGTATTGCATAACACAGCCCTGAGAACAAGCACAACCACTCTGATGGTGAATAAGTCAACGTTGGGACCAGTGACTAGCCAATCCAATGAAAGCTTAAAATGAACTTAATTTAATATGCTCTGGATCAGTTGTTAACTTTCCAGGCCCCACATTGGGCACCAAGGGCCCTGCTGTGGTTTAATCCCAGCCTGCAACTAAGTACCAAGCAACTGCTCACTCACTGTCCACCTCACTGTGGGATGAGGAGGAGAATCAGGAAAAAAAAAAAAAACAAAGTAAAATTTGTGGGTTGAAATAAGAACAATTTAATAATTAAAACAAAATAAAATATAATAATATTAATAATACTATTATAACAATATTAATAGTATAAAAAGGAGAGACACAGAGAGAAAACTCAAGAGAAACAAGTGATGCACAATACAATTGCTCACCACCCACTGACTGATACCCATCCTGTTCCAGGCAGCAATTGTCCCCTTCCAGCCAACTCCCCCAGTTTGAATACTGAACATGACATCCTATGGTACGGAATATCCCTTTGGCCAGTTCGGGTCACCTGTCCTGGCCATGCTCCCTCACAGCTTCTTGTGCACCTGCTCACTGGCAGAGCATGGGAAACTGAAAAGTCCCTGACAGGGTAAGCGCTGCTCAGCCACAGCCAGCACATTAGTGTGTTATCAACATTATCCTCATACTGAATTCAAAACCCAGGACTGTGCCAGCTACTGAGAAGAAAATTAACTCTGTCAGCTGAAAACCAGGAACCTTGGGGTCTAAGACAATAAGGAAAGGGGTCTCTTTAAAAACAAAGCTCTTTAAGCAAAGAACTGGTCCAGCTGAAGTTAGTAGGAAATACCTTTGTGATGAGATCTCTGAATATGAACTTCTTGAGCTGTAACATAGTCCTGGGAGTGCTGAATCCGTGGTGAACCTTCTCAGGCTCATCCCTGATGGAGTCTAATTGCATGAATTGTTTTTGGAAGAAAGATGGTCCCCATATGAATTGACTCTT